TAGACCAGGCTGGTCTCGAAATCCTGGCTTCCAGTGGTCCACCCACCTCAGCCTCTCCCTGTGCTGGGATGACACATGTGAGCCACCACACCAAACTTTTTATTATTTTCATCCGCAATCTTGCTGCAGTTTCAGTATTGGCCATCAACCTATATTACCTCCTGGTAATGACCCCTGAGGAATTAGCCATTTCATTTCCATAGGAGGAGGGGACAGGTCATGGTGGTAAGAACCTCACTGACCTGGGAGAGGTGGCAAAGCTACTGGGAAGCTGCTGGGGGTGGCCCACCTATGGTAGGAGCAGGCAGATGGGGACCCACGGGGACAGTAATCCTATTTTGGACACACACAGCCTGAGTGGAAAATGCCTGAGGCACAGCAGCGTCTGAGGCGGGTGAGAAATCTGGCCTGCAGAGTCATGGCTGGCCTTCAGATCTGCAGGCTGCCTGTGGCATGCCGTGTTACCTAAATCCGTTTGGGCCCTGAGTTCCAGGAGCAGGGGCAAGAATTCCGATAACGGGGCTTTATCCAGTGTGCATCCAGCTCAGAGTGGTTTCTGAGGCCAGTTGCTGTGGGCAGCCAGGATGCATTTGTCCTTGAGGTTTTCCAGGGCATCAAGGCGATGTTTGGATAAAGAATTCAGCACAGCAGGCGCCCACTACATGAGATGCTAATAACGTCTGCGGAGGCCGGGCACAGTGCACTTTGGGAGGCCAAGGTGGGAAGACTGCTTGAGGCCAGGAGTTCAAGACCAGCCTGGGCAACACAGTGAGACCTCATCTCCACCAAAAAAAAAAAAAAAAAAAAAAAAAAAAAGAAAAGAAAAAAGTAGAAAATTCACTGGGCCTGGCAGTGCATACTTGTAGTCCCAGTTACTCGGGAGGCTGAGGCATGAGGATTGCTTGAGCTCAGGAGTTCCCAGCAGCAGTGAGCTGTGACTGCACCACTGCATTCCAGCTTGAGCAATCAAGCAAGACCCTGTCTCTTGAGAAAAGTAAAGAAGTCTGTTGAAAAGAATGAAGGAAGGAAGGAAGGAAGGAAGGAAGAAATGAGAAGGGAACCCTGTCCCGGCTCCTCCTACAGGAAAGCTGGGGCAGGGAAGGCGGGGGGAACATCCAGCCCTACTCCCTCCCTCACTCTGGCCCAGAAAGCCCTGGTGCCATCTGTACAGGGAGGAGCCACAGAAAGTGTCCCACTCACAGCAGAGGGAGGCCATGTGAGGACAGCAGGGAAAATGGGATCTCAGCCATCCGGGAGGGGGCCAGAGAAGTGGGATGGACACCTAGGAAATCCAGCCGAGGACGACGCAGTGGCTTCTGACTCTGGTCCCCTGGCTGAGTGCGTTCCCTTTACAGTTTAAATTTAGGCTCAAGGAGAAGAAGTTGGCAATTGGCAGGGCCATGCGGTAGAGAGGATGTGGGGTTTCCAGAAAATCGCCAACACTTGGGCAGTGCTGGCTGTGTGCTCATCCAAGCATGTTACGGACTTTAACTCATTTCCTCTCCCAGCATCCCCCTCAAGAGGGTCTGAGTATTCCCATCTCCATTTTACAGAGGCTCAGAAAGGTGCTGTCATTTGCCTGAGGCCACACAGCTAGTAAGAAGCAGAGTCAGGATTTGAACCCTGGCAGTCTGGTCCCAGAGCCCAGGCTTTTGACCATTAGGCAATACTGCCCCAGTTATAACAACAATAATAATATGAATAAAAATGAACCTTTATCGAGTGCTATTTATAGATCAAGCTCTCTTCTAAGGATTTTTAAAGCATATTTAATTCTCGCAGCACTCCGATGAAGGAGGCATTTTAAGTATCAACATTTTACAGTTGAAGAAACAGAGGCCCAGAGAGATTGAGCCACTTGTCTAAGGTCACACAGCTGACTAGTGGCAGAGCCAGCCTTTGAACCTCAGCTTTCTGGTTGCAGAGCTTCGGCTTTTAGGCCTTGAATGATGCAGATGTGCCCTTGAGTTACACAGGGAGGCAGGTTGAGGGTGACCCCCACCAGGCCTACCCAAGGCTGGGTATTCATAATCACAGCACACACACCAGGCCCAGGGAGGCCGAGCAACTTGCCCAAGCTCACACAGCAAGCTTACCCCACACCCGGGCTGTCATGCAGCCTGGGCTACCCCTTAACGCTGCCTGGCCACTGCAGCCAACAGAGACATGGCGTCCATCGTGTCTGAGATCATGATGTATGTGCTCATCGTCGTGCTGACCATATGGCTTGTGGCAGAGATGGTTTACTGCTATAAGAAGATCGCTGCTGCCACGGAGACTGCTGCACAAGAGAACGCGTGAGTGGGGTGACTGGGAGGCAGGACGGCACCCAGGGCATCACCATACCTACCAGAGAAGAGCACGGGGAGCCAGGCTCGGGGGTGGGGAGCGACCCAGGGCGCATTCTCTCAGTACTTGCAGAGAGAAGTGCTTTCTTTTTCGCTCTTGTTACCCAGGCTGGAGTGCAATGGCACGATCTCGGCTCACCGCAACCTCCGTCTCCTGGGTTCAGGCAATTCTCCAGACTCAGCCTCCTGAGTAGCTGGGATTACAGGCACGCACCACCATGCCCAGCTGATTTTTTGTATTTTCAGTAGAGACGGGGTTTCACCATGTTGACCAGGATGGTCTGGATCTCTTGACCTCGTGATCCACCTGCCTCGGCCTCCCAAAGTCCTTGCTGGGATTACAGGCGTGAGCCATCCCGCCTGGCAAGAGAGGAGTGCTTTCTGTCAGACATGGGATAGGGGATGTCGGGCCCAGCCCCTTCCTCCCTCAAACTCAAGAGCCCACCATAGGCCCCTCCACTCTCTAAGGAGCCCTGTGTACCCCGGGCAGAGACCACTACCCTCCCTGTCCCCTGGGGGGTGGGCCAGTCTGATGATGGGGTCACTGTACACCTGGCCTTTCCCCCACAGCTCGGAATACCTGGCCATCACCTCCGAAAGCAAAGAGAACTGCACGGGTGTCCAGGTGGCCGAATAGCCCCGGTAAGGCGGATGGGTGGGCAGTGGGCCCGGAGATTGGGAGGGGTGGAAGTCCTCCAGGTCCCTAATTCCCCATCTCTCGCACCCCTTCAGGTCCTGGGCCCCTCCTCAAGGAAGAGCCAGCCCTAATGGGGACTCACCAGACACCGCCTGCCCCCATTTGGGGTGGGGTGGCCGCTTCTGGGCCTCCGAAAGCCTCAGAGTCCTGCCGACAGAGCCGCCGGGGAGGGAGCGGGCAGGGGGCTTGGCTTGCACCCCCACCTTCGCCTCCTCCAGCTCCTGCCCCCCGGCTGCGCACCGCCATGCATGATGGGTAAAGCAATATTGCCGCTGCCCCCACCCTGCTTCTGCTGCCTGTTTGGGGAGGGGGGCGGTGAGGTGGGGGCAGCGGCCCCGCACCCCTCCTCCTTGCTGATTTGCACACATTGGCCGCTTCAGACACGCACTTCTGGGGCCAGCCCCTCCCCGCCTCCTCCCTGCCCGGGGGCAGGGGTCGCGATGATGGGCTGGAGCAGTTTGGGGCAAGGGGTTCTGGGGCCCACTCCGACTCTCCTTCCCCAGCATCATTTCCCCTCCCGCTTCCTCCGGCTGGACCTGGGGTCCCCGTCCCCGTCCCCGTGATGCACTCCTGCCCCGGCCCAACCTCGCCCTCTCTCACCAGCCTTGAACTGTGGCCACCTAGAAAGGGGCCCATTCAGCCTCGTCTCTCTTTACAGAAGTAGTTTTGTTCATGAAATAAAGACTCTTGGACTTGATGCAAAGTTTTGATTGTGAGCCCCGTCACCTTCCCACGTTACTGTCCCCGAATCCTAGGGCCGGCTTTCCAGGGTCCCTGCCTGTGGGCCACAGGTGAAGCCACTTAGTGCCTGATCTGTGTCGGGCTTGGGTTAGAGGAGCCATTCGCTCAGGGGGGACGAAGAGGGGTGAGGGAGAGTGGGATGGAGCCAGGAAGGGAGGGGGTGCCGTGGAGGGAAGAGAGGGGAGGCTCAGGCTGGCGTGCAGGGCTTTCGCGGGGTGTGCGGTGTGCCCAGCAGTGTGGGTCTCTGGAGAGTTGGGCGCTGGGGAGGAGAGGGAAGGAGAGCCGGGTACGGATGGAGACTCAGAGGAAGCCAGGCTAAGTCAGCGTGTCTCCGTGAGGGCCCTGGGCTGAGTGGAGGAAATGGGAGCGGTGAGGGTGGGTTTGGCTGGGCACAGCGGGCACCTGTGGGTGAGCGGGTGGGGCCGGTGGTGCGGGCGGCCTATCTGGGGCAAGCCGCCGAGGCCGACTGTGTCCGGCGTGTGGCGGAGGGGGCAGGTGTCTGACGGTGACCCTGCGCGTCTGGTGTTTGCCTGGCCCTGGGTCTGACGTGGACCGCGCCTGGCTGCTGGCGGGACAGTGTGTTATCTGCCCGCGGACGCTTCCGGCCACTCGGCCTGGGCCTCTGCCCTCAGCGCTGTGTTTTCCGGGCCAAGCCCCCCATCCCCCCTATCTAGTGCTAGGACTTTCTGGCTCCAGAGGTCACCGCGGCCGGGCGGAGGCTGCCAAAGCAAACCAGCCCCGTGACTTGTAGGAAGGCCATGGGGGAGGGGCCGGGGGGAGGATGAGTGGGGCAGGTGGGAGGGGCCGGGGCTGGGGTCGGTCCGGGAATTGGGCAGGGGTGTAGGAAGTGGCGGGCTCAGCCTGGACCCGGGGCTGGAGGGCGCAGGCAGGGCGCGGGGAGGGGTCGCCGGGCGGGGGTGGAGTGGGCTTAGGTCAACTGGGGCCCTCCGTGGGATTTCCTAGGGTCAGACCCCCGCCCTTGAGCCCGGTAGGCGCCCCCAGCCTGCACTTTCTCCCTAACCCCCCAGCCTCCAGCCAGGGGACTGTTCCCACGTCTCCGCAGGCAGGCACACCTGGGTCCCTCTGGAGCCCCGTCGCTGGGCCCGCCTGGGCCAGCCCCTGCAAGTCCGGCCCCATCAGCCAGGTGGCCTCCAGCGCTGCCAATCGAATGGTCCGGCCCCTCCCCGCCCCTCCGCCCGCCCCTCGTCCAGCCCCCTCCTCCTCAGGTGAGGCAGCCTGGCCTAGCAGGTCCCAAGCCACCGCCTCTGCCTCCGGGCCGCCCGCCGCTGCGGGGCCACCATGCTCCTGCCCAGGCCTGGAGACTGACCCGACCCCTGCACTACCTCGAGGCTCCGCCCCCACCTGCTGGACCCCAGGGTAAGGACCAGGCCCCCCAGACTCACAGTTCCAGCCCTGAGGACAAGGGGTTTCCTCGCTCCCCCACCCAGCCTAACCTCCTAATAGAGGGGTTCCCCGAGACCTGAAGAGGGGCTCTGTGACGTCCCCCCCCAGCACCTAGGTGTCCTGGTCTGCTCTTCCTTGAGACTCAGAAGTTGGACCTCTGTCCTTTCCTCCCCAGACCCAGGAGTTCCAGTCCTCAGACCCCTCCTCCCTCATACTCATGAGTCCTGGTCCCCAAATTCCTCCTTTCCCAGGACGCCTGATTTCAGGTCCTCAGCCATCTCCTCCCTCAAACCCAGATCCTCAGTCCCCTGCTCCAGCAGGCGCAGGCATGGGGGTCCCCAGCCCTGCAAATCCAGGCATCCCCCTGCTCTGGTCAGACACTGACCCCATCCTTGAACCCAGCCCAACCTGCGTCCGTGATCACGGCGTGCTCTGGCCAAGGCCCAGTCCCTACAGCCTGCCTGGATGGACGCCTGGGACTGGGGGCGCCAGGACTGGGCTGGGCTGGGCTCCCCCAGGCCCTGCCTCCCCGTCCATCTCCTCACAGGTCCCACCCTGGCCCAGGAGGTCAGCCAGGGAATCTTAACAAGAGGCGGTGACATGGCGCAGAAGGAGGGTGAGTCCCCTTCCCTGAGCCCCATCTTTGGCTCTGCCTGGTGCCCCGCCCTCTGTGCTCTCTTCTCTACCCTCCATCCCTTCGGAGCCCCCTCTCTCTGGGCACCCCTCCCAGATACATCCCCACTCCTCTTAGTCCTCCTCCACCTGATTAACTATTAACCACATTTTCTGTGCAGCTGTGCCACCAGCAGCCTCCCTGCTATCCTATACGACCTTCCTGGCACCCTGCCTCAGTTTCCCTTCATCCCCCATTGATTTCTCAGCTAACCCTGGACTTGTTCTCTACTGGGCTGAGGCAGGGAGGCTGTAGCTGTCATGGTTAAGGACGAAGGTTTGGAGTCAGACACACAGGCTTGCACTGGAATTTGCTCCTGCCACCTTTTTTTGCTGTGTGATCTTGTGCAAGTGACATTATCTCAGGGCTTTGGTCTGCCCCTGGGTCAAGCATGGATCCCAGTCCTCCCTCTGTGAGGTTGTCGAGTGCATGAGACATACCAGGCACTGGCCTGGGGCTCTGCACATGGGACACATGCCATCAACCAGGGCTGTGGTGACAGAGACAGGCAGGCTCCAAGTCCTAGAGACCCAGGACCCCCACTGGTTCCAGACATTCCTCCACCTCCTGGCTTTGTGGGCAAAAGAGCAGAGGAAGGACTTTGGACTCAGCCTGGATGGATGGAGAGGGGAGAGACGGCAGAGAAACCACCGTAGGGATAACAGTGAGAGGCTGCCTGTTGGGGTTGCTGGCCCTCAGAGGGCTCCGGGCAGCCCTCGACTAGCCTGGCTTTCTTTCTACCTCTCACATGAGGGACCCAGCTGGAGGGGCGTATGGAGGGGCGGCCTGCTCTTACTGTCTTCCCCTAGCTGGGGCTGACTCCTCTTCTTGCTGCAACCAGGCTAGCTGGCTCAGTCCCAGGCAGTAGCACTTTCTAGCTGTGTGGCCCTGGGCAGGCGGTGTGTCCTCTTTGGGCCTCCATTCTCTCACCTGTGAAATGGAAAGGGCGATGGTTGCATGCTTGATGGTGTGGGGTGAGGCCTGAAATGCCAGGATAGGCAGCAGGCACTGAGTGTGTTGGCTGGAATGATTAGTTTGGATCTCTGGCCTCTTCAGGTCTCGGCACAGCTGGCAATTCAGACCCCAAACCATTCAGCTATGGTCCAGAGGGAACCCAGGCTCCTAGTTACCCAGGAGAAGGTGTTGCACCCTAGCTGAGCAGGAATATGACAGAATCCAGCTCCCTGGGGACGATCTCTTTCCTGGAGCTGCCGGAAGGACAGCACCAGGGCTTGGGCCTATGGGTGAATGAACCAGGGAAGAAAAGCAGAGGCTGGGTGCAGTGGCTCACACCTGTAATCCCAGCACTTTGGGAGGCCAAGGAGGGTGGATCACAAGGTCAGGAGTTCAAGACCAGCCTGACCAATATGGTGAAACTCTGTCTCTACTAAAAATACAAAAATTAGCTAGGCGTGGTGGTGTACACCTGTAGTCCCAGCTACTTGGGAGCCTGAGGCAGGAGAATTGCTTGAACCTGGGAGACAGGTTTCAGTGAGCCAAGATTGCGCCACTGCACTCCAGCCTGGGCCACAGAGCGAGACACCATCTCAAAAAAAAAAAAAAAAAAAAAAAAAAAAAAGGAAACAAAGAAAACAAAGCAGAAAATGCCTGAATGGACAGAGATGGCCTGGGTTCAAGAAGAAACAGACAAAGTGGCTCCGGTGCCTCCCCAGCAGCTCTGGGCTGGTCTCAGGGCTGGGGTGTGGGGGTCAAACCTGGACACAGATGCCGAAAGGTTCTGATGCTGCACTTTCTTGCTGGGTGACCAGGGATTGGTGGCTGCCAGACTTTGGACCTCCTTTTCTCATCTGTAAACTGGGGGTGGTGGCAATGGTGCCTTCCTCGTGAACGGCTGCAAAGATTTAAGCATGCTGTGCAGAACTGGACGGGGTTAGGGCAGGGCGGTGCATCCGTGCGTGATTCTGAGAGCCACTGTGGGTGCAGCGGCTGCTGGTGGTGGTGGTACTGTTGTTGCTACTGGCTTCTGGGAAGCCAGGGAACTTGGGATTGGAGTTGCAATTCAAGGATGCCAGGCAGAGGGAAGAGCAAGGCTCTTGCTCTTCCCTGGGAAGCTGGGAGGTGACACAGTGCTGGCATGCACATAGCCAGTTGTGGTATTTCTGGAGGTGCGGTTGGAAGTGGAGCTGGGTGGGAGATGAGGTGTGCAAGCTGGACCAGGCTGCCATGAGGCTGTTTTGGGGACCAGTGGGCCAATTCCTCACAGTGCTGGGTCTCTCCACAAGGTGGCGCCAGTGGTTAGCCCCTGCTTCTCTTGTCTAACTTGTATTTGACAAGTTCTACTATTTGAGTTGCTTTTTGGATGCTCTCTTGGTGCCTGATAATGACCCACATGGTTGTCTGTTCAACTCCCAAACCTCTAAAAGCCATGCTTATACCCTAGTGGGGCTGGAAATGCCAGGCTGAGGGTCTTAGGCTGTCCTGGGGGTACTAGGGAGTCACAGAGGATTCTATAGGTAAAGAAGGGGATAGGTTGGATTTGGTGTCTCAGTAGGTTCCCAAAGCCTCCATGTGGAGGGCAGGCTAGAAGGGGAGACTGAGTGTAGTGGTTGGATGGGGCTGGAGCAAGGTGGAGATGGAGGGAGAGAACGAACAGGGGGAGGAGAGTCACTCAGGAGGATTGGCAGGCTGTTGGGGGAGGGGAATGTTCTGCAGACAAGGATGGTCCTAGGAGTGAGGGTCTCTGAGACAAGACCTGGGAGGAAGAATATATTTGGGGAGCCATTGAGGCCATTCTGGGACCTAGTGGGGGCAAAGGGACTAGGAGGTTCCAGGGAAAGGTATTTAAGGGACTGCAGGATCCCTGACCTGGGGCCTAGAAGATAATCTAAGGCTGGGGACAGAGGGAAAACTGAGGCCACTGAGGTGGATGAGACAGACTTAGGGACAGGGAGGAGTGGGGCGAGGCCAAAGCCAGCCCTAGGAACTCCACCTTTAATGCAGTAGGTAGAGGCTGGGTGGAGAAAGCAGTCTCAGAGACGAAGGAGGAAAATCAGGTGCGTGTGATGCCCCAGAAGTCCAGAGGAGAGCATTTGTTCCGGAAGCTGCAGGCATGTCCGAAGAGGACTGAGGCACGGAGATATCAGTTAGTTGAGTGGATTTTCAGAGCCAGAGAGCCAAAGCTGTCACTGTGAGGGTCTTCGCAGCCACATGGTGGAGGCAGAAGAACTGTCCTGTGAGAAGACACAAGGCGGCTGGAGGGCCTGGAGAAGCAGGGCAGAGAGTCTCGGGGAGAAGTGGCAGTGGGCGGTCTGGCTCACCGAGGGAAACAGGCCTGCTGCTGGGCTCAAAGGGTTGATGATGCGTTGCTGCCTGTGCCAGTAGAGATTATGCAGGGAGGATGAGGATGCGTCCTACATCCGGGCCCAGATGAGGGTGCCACCTGTGCCAGAGAGACATGCAGGGAGGATGGCTCTCATACGGGGGAGACCTCAGGATGCAGATGCTTTCTGTTCTACTAGAGGCGCTGAAGTCCTCTGAAACAGACCGAATGGAAGAAGAGTCTTCCTCTCACCCTAGGAGATGCATGCATGGTGGCATTGCTTCCTGTCCCACCAGATGTGCCAGGGCCTCCAGGCTACATGCTGCCTGGCAGGCACAGCTGGAAACAAAGGAAGCAAGAGCGGCCCACTGCACACTGGAACCTGGAGAGTGGTCCTGGGCAGAGCTGAGGGCAGGCCTCAGAGCCCTCACAGGACAGGCAGGGGTCAGCCAGCAGTAAATGGTCTGGTCTGGCCCACTGGGGCCTCTTTTGGGGAATAGAGTGTTCCCGCATGCCTTGATGGGAGTCACTTAGCTCCCAAATTTTTTTTTTTTTTTTTTTTGAGACAGAGTCTCTGTTGGCAGACTAGAGTGCAGTGGCTCAACCTTGGCTCACTGCAACCTCCGCCTCCCAGGTTCAAGCGATTCTCCTGCTTCAGCTTCCCAAGTAGCTGGGACTATAGGCACCCACCACCACACCCAGCTAAGTTCTTAAGACACCCAGGTAATAGCCACCCCAGTGAGGTTCTGGACTTCTCCCTGCTCTGTTCCAGGCGCTGGCCTGGTGCCGAAGTCACCAGCCATACTGCCATGGATGCAGATGGGAGAGCTGGGAGCTCCTGCTGCCCTGGGGGTGGTCTGTAGCTGCCAAGGGCAGTTGAGCCCAAGCCAGGCCCAGCTTAAGGCTTGCAGCAGCCTTTACTCTTTGGTCCTCTTATAATCCCTAGTAAAGGGGTGTCTTTTAATCTCTAGGACCTCTGCACTGGGAATAAAATCCCTTTTCCTGTGCCACTAGGCCTCCCCAGCTGGCCCCAGCCTTAGTTCCCACTACTTTCCCCAAGCTCCGGCCATCTGGCTGCCTTGATGGCCTCTCCAGCCTCTGATATAACAGAGCGTGCTTATTCTTGCCTCAAGGCCTTTGCCTATGCTGTTCCCTGTGCCCACAGTGCCCTTCCTTGTGGTCTGTGCATAGCTGGCACCTCACCTTTCAGATCTTAGCTCAGAAGTCTCTTCTAGGGCAGGCACTCTGATCCCTGATCCCTCTGCAGAAGGCACTCAGATCCCTGATCCCCCTGCAGAAGCCCATCTGCTGCTGCCAGCCTGCATGATTTTCCTCACAATCCACAATCTGGAAATTACCGCGTCATTTACTTGTTTCCTTGTTAATGTCCCCCACTCCCCACCTGCATGCATGAGGACGAGAGCCCTGAGAGCCATAACCTTATCTGTCTTCTGTGGGTTATGTTCCTGGAAACTAGAAAGGTGCCAGGCACACAGCAAATGCTCAGTAGGACGGTAAACGGATAACGCTCCATTAGACTGAAGGAAAAACTGAGGGTCAGGTGTGGTAGCTCACGCCTGCAATCCCAACATGTTTTTGGGAGGTGGAGGTGGGCAGATGGCTTGAGACCAGGAGTTCACAACCAGCCTGGCCAACATGGCAAACCCCATCTCTACAAAAAATACAAAAATTAGCCAGGTGTGGTGGCTTGTAGTCCCAGCTACTCAGGAGGCTGACAGGTGGGAGAATTACCTGAGCCTGAGAGTTTGAGACTGCAGTGAGCCATGATCGCACCCCTGCACTCCAGCCTGGGCAGCACAGTGAGACCGTGTTTCAAAAAAAAAAAAAGGAAAAGAAAAGAAAGAAAAGCTGGGTGTGGTGGCTCACCCCTGTACTCCCAGCACTTTGGGAGGCCTAGGCAGGCGGATCTCCTGAGGTTGGTAATTTGAGACCAGCCTGACCAACATGGAGAAACTCCCGTCTCTACTAAAAATACAGAATTAGCCGGATGTGGTGGCACATGTCTGTAATCCCAGCTGCTTTGGAGGCTGAGGCAGAATTGCTTGAACCTGGGAAGTGGAGATTGCGGTGAGCCGAGATCGTGCCATTGCACTCCAGTCTGGGCAACAACAGTGAACTCCATCTCAAAAAAAAAAGAAAAGAAAAAAGGCTCAGAGAGGGGAAGGGAGTTGCCCAGGACCACACAGCTCTAATAATTTATAAAGCTTTTATAGAGAACTTGCTATGTGCCAGGCACTTTTGCACAGTGAGAGAGACAGGATGGCTTTGTGACTGGACACAGGGGACCTGGCACCAAATCTGCGCAGAGTTCAGGACTCAGCTCTGCCTCTTCCAGGCTGTCACCATGGCCATGTGACCCCACTTCTCTGAGCTTTCTGAAAAACAGAAATCATAGTTGTGGGATTGAAATAAGGACTAATGAGCTGATGTATTTGGAGCAGAGCTTAGCACCTAGGAGGCATCAATACGAGTTGGACTATTCTTCTTCTTCTTGAAAAGAACTTTAAAGTATTAGTTTTAGAAGTGAGTGCTCAGTGGATGCCCACTGAGAAAGTTGAGGCTGGGACATGACGGCTCCTGCCTTAGGTCCCAGCTAAGAAGGGGTAGGGCTAATATTTTTAAATGAGGCTAGCCAGGCACAGTGGCTCACTCCTGTAAAGCCAAGGAGGGACGATCACTTCAGGCCAGGAGTTTGAGACCAGCCTGGGCAACATGATGAAGCCCTGTCTCTACTAAAAAATGTGAATTTGAAAATTAGCTGGGCATGGTGGTGGGCACCTGTAATCCTGGCTATTTGGGAAGCTGAGGCAGGAGAATTGCTTGAACCTGGGAGGCAAAGGTTGCAGTGAGATGAGATTGCACCACTGTGCTCCAGCCTGGGCAACAGAGCAAGACTCAGTCTCAAAAATAAAAAATAAAAATAAATAAAATAAAATGAGGCTGGCAGATTTTCAAGTGGAGGAACAAATTTAATCTTGCAACTGGGTGCCATGAGAGAGGTCTGATTTCGGGGGCACGTAGGGGCAAAGGGTCTATAACAGCGGAAACAACTGAGGCAGCCAGGAAAGGCCAGCGGCAGGGAAGAGAGCTACCAAGAGGGCAAAGGTCGGGGGTCACAGTCCCCAAGAAGAGACGGCCCAAAGCAAAGACAGAAATATAAAGCCACAGTGTTCCCGGGGAGGAGAAATTCCCTAAGTGTTGAGAAAGTGCAGGGTGGAGGTGGGGAGCATGGCAGGCGGCCCGGGCCATGCCCCCATCCCCGCTGGAACCCTGGGGGAGCTGGACACCTGGTTGTTCACGCGGCAGGAGGGGACAGCCCTGTCAGCTGCCGGCCCTAGGGAAACTGGGCCCGGGGAGGGCATGCTTGGGCATAATAAGTTAGCCCTGGGGGGCAGGGCAGAGCTGGCCTTGTGCCCAGACCCTACTGTGATGAGGACAGGGCTGGCTGTGGCCCCAGCATGGTTTCTGTTGCAGGTGGCCGGACTGTGCCATGCTGCTCTGGACCCAAGGTGGCAGCTCTCACTGCGGGAACCCTGCTGCTTCTGACGGCCATCGGGGCGGCATCCTGGGCCGTTGGTGAGAGCAGTCCCTGTGCCTCCCACCTCCCCTGGCCCCTGCAGCCTCCAGCCTGCCTGCCCTCACCTCTTCCTTCTCTGCAGTGGCTGTTCTCCTCAGGAGTGACCAGGAGCCGCTGTACCCAGGTGAGTGGAGGAGGCTGGCACCCTCTGGGGGAGCCCTGGAAGACACCTGTATCTGGCGGGAGCTCAACAAATGCATTTGTTGGATAAATGTACAAATGCATGCAGAAATGCTAATCATAATAGCGCATTTGTATCGAGCGCCTGCTATGTACCAGGCACTATTCTAAGCACCCCGCATGTCTAACCCAGACTTTGTCAGACGCCAGTGTGTTACTCATGAGTGCATCATGAAATTAAATTAGTGAGTTGGAAAACCTTGTTTTTTTAAAAGTATGAAATAGATTATAGACTATCACAGTGCATCTCTAAGTAAGGAAAGGTTATGCCAATTTTTGTTTTGCTTTTTTTTTGCATCCATATGCATGCAATCCCACTGCATCCCCACGCTGTGAGGGTGGGACCGGTATTCTCCCCATTTTACAGATGGGGAAACTGCCACTTTGAGCAATGTGGTAGTTTGCCCCAGACCACAGAGCTATGGGCTATATCAGGATGTAAAAATATGTTTCTTACTGTGAGGCATGACCGTTAGGGAGGCATGGTATGAATACAGTGGGCCCTTGTAACTCTCCTAGAAGATAGCTGCTGTTTTCCTTTAAATGAAGTCTTGCTCTGTCACCCAGGCTGGGGTGCAATGGCACAGTCTTGGCTCACTGCAAACTCTGCCTCCTGGGTTCCAGTGATTTTCCTGCCTCAGCCTCCCAAGTAGCTGGGATTACAGGCATGTGCCGCCAGGCCTGGCTAATTTGTGTATTTTCAGTAGAGACAGGGTTTCACCATGTTGGTCAGGCTGGTCTCGAACTCCTGACCTCAGGTGATCCACCCACCTTGGCCTCCCAAAGTGCTGGGATTACAGGTGTGAGCCACCGCACCTAACCTAATGTTTTTCATTTGTAGTAGAGATGGGATCTCGCCATGTTGCCCAGTTTGGTCTTAAAACTCCTGAGCTCAAAGCAGCCCTCTCATCTCAGCTTCCCAAAGTGCGGGGATAACAGGTGGGCAACACCACAACCCATTTTCCTGTGGGGATGCCGAGGCACAGAAAGGCTGAGTGACTTGTCTCAGATTACGGAGCTAGTCCATCTCAGGGCTGGGATTTGAACCCTGGCAGCCTGGATAGTAGCTGTATATAACGTTCACACTTGACTGTTTGTTAAAAACAAATAAACAAAAACCAGCTGAATTTGTTGCCATAGTGAAGACTAACATATGCCAGGGCCTGGCTGCAGCCTTTACCAACTAGGCCTATGCAGCTGGGCTGTTATCATCCCAACATTTTGCATTTGGGGGAAACTGAGTCCTGGTGAAGCAAACCAACTTGCCCAAGACCACACATCAGATAAGAGACAGAGCAAAGGGATCACACCTCTGTCAAAAGCCCCTCAGTGGCAACATGTGGCATGGAGATAGAATCCCAACACATCACAGGCCGCAAGGCTTCTAGGGTGGGGCCCTCTCTACCCCCACCTCACACTCGCTTCAAGCACCCTCCAGGCCCAGTCCCTCACTCAAATGACCTCCTCACACAGAAGTCTCTACTCACCAACCTCTTTCTAGCTCACACCTAGAGGTGGATTTCAGTCCTGCACCATCCCTTCTGAGCTGCCAGGCCTCCCACCAGTCCCCGCCCTCTCCCAGCCTCAGTTTCCTCATCTGTGAGAATGAGAATCAGTTGAGAATGAGAGGAGATTAAAAATCTGTGCAGTACTTGGGCTGGGCGCAGTGGCTCACGCCTGTAATCCCAACACTTTGGGAGGCTGAGGGGGGTGGATAACCTGACGTCAGGAGTTCGAGACCAGCCTGGCCAACATGGTGAAACCTTATCTCTACTAAAAACACAAAAATTAACTGGGCATGGTGGCACGCACCTGTAGTCCCAGCTACTCAGGAGGCTGAGGCAGGAGAATTGTTCGAACCCAGAGGCGCAGGTGGCAGTGAGTGACCTGGGTGACAGAGCAACACTCTGTCTCAAAAAAACAAAAACCACACACACAAAAATCCATGCAGCACTTGGCTCTTAGCCAGCACAGTAGACATTAGCTTTTGCTTCTCACTCTTGAAATTCTTTCTTGAAATTTCTTGAGCAAGACCTATCTGGACTTCCAGACTCTGTGGTCTATGGCTGTGTCCCTGCCGCCCCAGTAAAACCCTCCTCACTCACTTTGAATGATTTACTTCTGGCAAACTTCAGGAGGGCAGGGACCTTTTGTTGATTGGCTAGACAGGGCCCGACACATAGTAGGTGCCCAGGAAATCCTTGAGTTATGAATGCACCCAGAGCCAAACGCTGAAATGAACTAGGGAGTCATGGGCCTCCAGCTGGAAAGGAGCTAGGTCACCACTCACACCAGGCGCTGGCCAGTGCCATGCCCCTGCCCTGCAGTGGTACTTGGGTTTTTCTTTTTGAGATAGAGTCTTACTCTGTTGTTCAGGCTGGAGTGCGATGGTGCCATCTCAGCTCACTGCAACCCCTGCCTCCCAGGTTCAAGTAATTCTCCTGCCTCAGCCTCCCAAATAGCAGTGCTTACAGGTATGCACCACCACACCCAGCTAATTTTTGTATTTTTAGTAGAGATGGGTTTGCACCAAGTTGGCCAGGCTGGTCTTGAACTCCTGACCTTGTGATCCGTCCGCCTCGGCCTCCCAAAGTGCTGGGATTACAGGCGTGAGCCACCGCGCCTGGCCAGTACTTGGGTTTTTTCAACAACTCAGGGAAATGATGAAACAAACAAACCAAAACAACCCCAAGATTGTATCCCCACCTCGGGTTTTTTTCATGCTTCTAAATATATCCAACAACTTGGCAGGCACACCAGGTGACCCAGAACTTCCTTTTTGTGTTGCTTGAAATGACAGGAACAAGAATAAAGAATTTAAAAGTGAGAAACAGCAGCAGAGAGTGTGGCTTTAAAAATAGCCAGAGGGGACATTTGATGTTCTCTCCCCACTCCCGTCTCCCCCAACACACATCCATAAAGTGATTCTTTCCCCCCTAAAACCTCACGCTTTCTGGAAATCACAGTCCAGAGCAGTGAACAGTCATTTTAAAATAAGAATCCACCCATCTCCCTGCCCCAGCTGGTGTTTCCAACTCCAAGCCTTGGCTTTGGAATTCATGGGGTGATGAGGACCCCCCCAGGCTAGAGGTGCCAGGCGTTCCCTGCTCCAACCCCAGAGCAGGAGGTCATAATTAAGGCAGGCCAGGTATGCAGTGGCACCCTGTAATCCCAGCACTTTGGGAGATCCAGATGGGCAGATTGTTGAGGTCAGGAGACCAGCCTGGCCAACATGGCAAAACCCCATCTCTACTAAAAATACAAAAGTTAGCCAGGTGTGGTGTCGGGCACTTGTAATCTCAGCTACTTGAGAGGCTGAGGCACAAGAATCGCTTGAACCCAGGAGGCAGAGGTTTCAGTGAGCTGATATCACACCACTGCACTCCAGCCTGGGAGACAGAGCAAGACTCCAATTCAAAACAAACTTAAAATAAAATAAAGATAAAATAAGAATCCACCCCCTTCCCCGTCCCAGTTGGTGTTTCAAACCCCAAGCCTTGGCCCTGGAATTCATGGGGTGATGAGGATGCCCCAGCCAGAGGTGCCAGGTGTTTCCTGCCCCAACCCCAGGGCAGGAGGCCATAATTAAGGCGGGCCAGCCAGGGGCTTTTTTGGTCCTGGCCATGGATGAGTACATTCAGCATGGAGAAGGGAAAGGGTTTGTATGAGGCCCACAGAGGGAACAGGGAATGTGCAGATCTGGGTTCAAGTCCTAGTTCTGCTGGATAGCCATGTGCCCCTGGGCAAGTTTATTCCTCTGAGGCTCAGTTTTCCCATCTGTAAGATGGGCATAGAAGTGGTCACTATCAACCAGGCATGGTTGCTCACCCCTATAATCCCAGCACTGAGGGAGGCTGAGACAGGTGGGTCACCTGAGGCCAGGAGTTTGAAACCAGCCTGGGCAACATGGTAAAACTCCATCTCTACTAAGAACACAACAGTTAGCTGGGCCTGGTGGTGGGTGCCTGTAGTCCCAGCTACTTGGGAGGCTGAGGCAGGAGGATCACTTGAACCCGGGAGGCAGAGGTTGCAGTGAGCTGAGATTGTGCCACTGCACTCCAGCTTGGGCAAGACAGCAAGATTACGTCTCAAAAGAAAAGAAGTGGTCACTATCTCCCAGGATGGTGGTGGGATTCAAAGAGCCACTTGGATAGGACACATAGCATGGGGCCAGCCCGCTGACCCCCCATCAGTGTAGCCCGTGCTATTATCACTGTGCTGTTGTTTAACCCTTTGGAGGGGATGTCTCTTGGGAGGCTGTCCAGGGCAGTGTTAACAGCTTGGAGTTTGAAGTCACTCAGGCCTGAATTCCAATCCTCTCTCCCTGCTTCTCAGGCACTTGGTGATGTTGAGGAAGCCGCCCTCTCTGAGCTTCAGCTTCCCTGTCTGGAAATTGGGGATGATCTTTGTGGTTCCTGGGGGGTTCGATGAGGCCTTGGTCAATGGTGGGGCAGAGGTAGCCTAGCGTTGGGCACACAGTAGGTCCTCAGCTGGGGAGAGTTCTCCTTGGAAGTCCTGCCTCTCCTTGTCCTGACCTGCAGTGCTGTCGGAAGACTGCTTAGCTGAGGTGTGACCTTACCAGGTTCCTTCTAAGAGGATGCAAAAGTGAGGTTTCATTTGAATCAGTTTCCCAGAATGCGCTCTCAGAGTCCAGGCCAGGCAGGAGGCTCCTGAGAAAAGGACTCACACCTATGATCCCAGTACTTTGGGAGCCCAAGGTGGGAGGATTGCTTGAGGCCAGGAGTTTGAGACCAGCCTGGGCAATATAGCAAGATCCTGTATCTACAGAAAAATAAATTTAAAAGACTTTTTTTTTTTTAGCTCAGGGTTTGCTGGATTCTAACCTGGCTGTTGTCACTCAGCTCTGTCCTACAAAACATTTTTTAAAAAATTAGCAGAGTCTGGTGGTATGCACCTGTGCTCCTACCTACTTGGGAGGCTGAGGCTGGAGGATCGTTTGAGCCCAGGAGGTTGAGGCTGCAATGAGCTATGATTGTGCCACTGCACTCCAGCCTGGGTGATGGAGTGAGACCCTGTCTCAAAAAAGAAAAAAAGGGGGCGGGGCGCTGTGGTTCACGCCTGTAATCCCAGCACTTTAGGAGGCTGAGGCGGGCGAATCACCTGAGGTGGGGAGTTTGAGACCAGCCTGACCAACATGGAGAAATCCTGTCTGTACTAAAAATTAAAAAGAAAGTATTAGCCGGGCGTGGTGGTGCATGCCTGTAATCCCAGCTACTTGGGAGGCTGAGGCAGGAGAATCACTTGAACCTGGGATGTGGAGGTTGCAGTGAGCCAAGATCATGCCATTGTACTCCAGCCTGGGCAATAAGAGCCAAAATAAATAAATAAATAAATAAATAAAAGTGGGCGGGGGGGGAGGAGGAAAGGAAAGAGGACAAAGAGGGTCACAGCTGATCTGCTCCCTCCCACCATCCCATCTCTGCTAGCATCAGCTCCATCTTTTCAGGCTCAGGCCAAACCCCTCAGTGACCCCCCAGTTCCTCCACAGTCACCCATGAATCAGATCTCGCAGGAAGCCCTGTCAGCTCCACCTACAGAACCTCTCCAGAATTTGAACTCTTTACCCACACTGCCCCCACCCTGCTCCAGCCCCTTTCCCCTCTCATGTGGATGCCGTAGAGCCTCCTCCCTGGCCTCCCTGGCCTCCCTGCTCCCACCCCTGCCTCCACAATCATATCCCACAAAGGGGATTTGACTCACCCACTTAACCAGCAATTCTGGAGGGTCTTCAAACCTGGCTGTGGCAGGAGATTTAAAGGATGGGGACCGGCACGGTGGCTCATGCTGGTTTCCCACTTGCAGCCAAAGGGAGCTGGTGAGTCAGATCAGGGCCCTGGTCTGACTGCACCTCACTCCAGGCACCAGCAAAGCCCTGATTTTTTTTTTTCTTGAGATGGAGTCTCACTCTTGTTGCCCAGGATGGAGCGCAATGGCACGACTCTGCTCACCGCAACCTCCACCTCCCAGGTTCAAGTGATTCTCCTGCCTCAGCCTCCTGAGTAGCTGTAATTACAGGTGTGTGCCACCAGGCCTGGCCTTGGTGGTTTCTCCATGTTGGTCAGGTTAGTCTTGAACTCTTGACCTCAGGTGATCCACCCGCCTCAGCCTCCCAAAATGCTGGGATCAGAGGCATAAGCCACCAAGCCAGGCCAGATGTTGCTCTGTTCCTGGCTCCCACCTCATCTACCCTTCCCTGGTTCACTCTGCTCCGGCCTCCTGCTGTTCCTAAAGCACTTCTTCCCCATCCTGCCCCCCCCGCCCCCCCACCACTAGCCTTGGGATCTTTGCACCTGCAAGTCCCTCTGCCGCCCTGCCGATCTCTCACATACCTCCTGACACTGTCTTACCTCCTGTACGTCTCTGTTCCTGCACCACCTTCCCAGGGATGCTCTCCTGGCTGAAAAGTGCAGCCTCACCCGAAACCCACGCCGGCACCCCCTTCCCTCGGTGGCTTTTTATTTTTCTCTGTGGCCCTTTCCTATCTTGTGACATACAATATATCCCACTTATTTGTCCTATTCATGATCCGTCTTGCCTACTGGGCTTTGAGATCCACAGGGGTTGGGGTTTTTGTCTGATTTGTTCATTGCAGTGGTGATTTGGTCTTTGCCTAAAATAGACCCTGGTAGGTACAAAGTGTTCATTAAATAGAAATCAATACCCCAGGGGCTGTGACCTGACTTAGATGCTAACAGGTTCCTCTGAGGCGTGTGGAGAGCAGACTGAGGTACTCACCGCAAACCGCCCCCAATCAGCCCCAGACATGAACGGTCTCCTGGAGCTCCCGCTAGCCTTCCCTTGTATCCCAGCCCTGCCTCATGTCACAGTTTGTAATGACGTGTTTGGCTGTGTGACATTTGTATGCCCGTCTGTCTCCCTATCCCCCATAATGTGGTTTGCTGAAAGCAAAGCCCAGGGCTGTCTCAGTCATCTCTATGTCTCCAGCATCACCCCTCACTGGGCATGGAGTATATCTCCAGTTAACGCTTGCTGAGGGAATGAATGAATACTCCATCCTCTGCTTGGAGAATTATGCACTTCAGCATATTCAAGGCTCTGACAAGTCCTGAAGAAAAGATCATTTTTTCCTCCCTCCCTCCCTCCCTTCCTTACTTCTCCTCCTTCCTTCCTTCCTTTTCTTTCTCTTTCTTTCTTCCTTTCTCTCCTTCCTTCCTTCTTCCTTCCCCTCTCCTCCTCATCCTTACTTTCTTGCTCTCTCTCTCTTTCCCTCCTCCCTCCCTCCCTCCCTTCCTTCCTTCCTTCCTTCCTTCCTCCTTTCTTTCTGACTGTAGGATATCAATTAGCAATCTGGCAGTAGTCAAGATTGGCAATCTGGTGTGTTAGTCAAGGGTCTTCAGTCTACAGAAGACAAAAGGAAAAAACAAACGGGCTAAAAACAAAAGGGGACATGATGAACTCACTTAACACAATCACAGAGGTTCTTCAACCTGGCTGCATCCAGGGGCTTTAAAATGTTATCAGATGGGGGCCAGGCGAGGTGGCTCACACCTGTAATCCCAGAAATTTGGGAGGCTGAGGTGGGTGGATCACCTGAGGTCAGGAATTTGAGACCAGCCTGATCAACATGGAGAAACCCGTCTCTACTAAAAACACAAAAAATTAGCCGGGTGCAGTGGCGAATACCTATAATCCCAGCTACTTGGGAGGTTGTGGCAGGAGAATCGCTTCAACCCGGGATGTGGAGGTTGCAGTGAGCCGAGATCGTGCCATTGCACTCCAGCCTGGACAGCAGAGTGAGACTCTGTCTCAAAAATAAATAAATATAAAACTAAATACACGTTTTAAAAAATAGAAATCACTCTGGAAGGAGAGTTAAATCTGTTTGCTATAATGGTAATAATACTCCATATAGCTATGGTAAAGTTCATATGAAGAACCAGACTGCGATCTACAGACGGGCATTACATGTGTTCTTCTATTTTTCATATGCTGTCTGTGTGTGCATAAAGTGAGAGGTCTTTATGTATGAGTTATAAGTGTGGGCCGGGCGTGGTGGCTCACGCCTATAATCCCAGCACTTTGGGAGGCCGAGGCGGGTGGATCATGAGGTCAAGAGATCAAGACCATCCTGGTCAACAAGGTGAAACCCCATCTCTACTAAAAATACAAAAATTAACTGGGCATGGTGGCATGCGCCTGTAGTCCCAGCTACACGGGAGTCTGAGGCAGGAGAATTGCTTGAACTCAGGAAGCGGAGGTTGCGGTGAGCTGAGATGGTGCCATTGCGCTCCCACCTGGGTAACAAGAACGAAACTCCGTCTCAAAAAAAATACAAAACAAAACAGTGTGGCCAAAGACAAATGGACAAAGACGGAATGACAAAAGTGCTAATAAACAGCTTCAGAAAATAAACAGCTCCACAAAAAATCAAATGACGAAACGTTATCAAGAATCTCTTGGCTCTCCTCCGTGTTAGCTTACTTTTTCCCTCGAGATGGTGAGGATGACCCTTGACAGATCCACCCTCATGTGCTGGATTCTCTTGGGAACTTGGTTAAACATTTTTTTTTTCCTTCCCAAATGTCCAAGTCACCTTCCAGACCTGCAGCTTCTGAGCAGCTGGCTTAGGGTTCCTAGTGGAGAACGAAGTTCCCCTGGTTGCCTGAGGGTCTGGCCACTGCCCCAGGGCTGCTGTTCACTGGTCCAACCTGAGTCCTTGAGGCTGGCAGAGTGCCATGGCACACGCCTGTAATCCCAGCATTTTAGGAGGCTGAGGCGGGAGGATCGCTTGAGCCCAGGAATTCGAGACCAACCTGGGCCACATGGCAAGACCTGTCTCTACAAAAAAAAAAAACAAAAATTAGCCAGGTGTGGTGGTGCAAGCCTGTGGTCCCAGCTACTCAGGAGGCTGAGGTGGGAGGATTGCTTGAGTCTGGGCGGTCAAAGCTGCAGCATGCTGAGATCACACCACTGCACTCCAGCCTGGGCAACAGAGTGAGACCCTGTCTTTAAAAAAATAAAATAAAAGGCCAGGCATGGTGGCTTATGCCTGTAATCCCAGTACTTTGAGAGGCTGAGGCAGGTGGATCATGACGTCAAGAGTTCGAGACCAGCTTAGCCAACATGGTGAAACCCCGTCTCTACTAAAGAGACAAAAATTAGCCGGGTGTGGTGGCGTGTGCCTGTAATCCCAGTTACTCGGGAGGCTGAGGCAGGAGAAACGCTTGAACCCAGGAGCCAAAAGTTGCAGTGAACCAAGATCGTGCCATTACACTCCAGCCTGGGTGACAGGGTAAGACTACGTCTCAAAAAAAAAAAAAAAAGTCCTTGAGTCACTATTCCAGGTGCAATCACAGATGTGGGGGTTGTAGCCCTCTGACAGGCTGGGGTTCAGGTCTAAACCATGGCCGCAACACAGGCCAGGAGGGGCTCTGGCAGGAGAGGCTTGCAGGGAGCCTGGCTGTGGGACCCAGGCGCCCCGGGCCCTGTCACCCTGCAGTGCAGGTCAGCCCAGCGGACGCTCGGCTCACGGTCTTTGACAAGACAGAAGGGACGTGGCGGCTGCTGTGCTCCTCGCGCTCCAACGCCAGGGTGGCTGGGCTCAGCTGCGAGGAGATGGGCTTCATCAGGTACCGGGGGCCCTCGGAGGGGTGGGAGCCAGGAGGGGCGGGGACCAGGCCTGACCCCTGCCCCACCCAGGGCACTGGCCCACTCCGAGCTGGACGTGCGAACATCGGGCGCCAACGGCACTTCGGGCTTCTTCTGCGTGGACGAGGGGAGGCTGCCCCACACTCAGAGGCTGCTGGAGGTCATCTCTGTGTGGTGAGGGGGGCAGCGGGCAGGTGGGGCAACACCCCAGGCCCCCAAGGCACTCCCTCTCCCCGTTTTCCTTCCCTCTGTCTTAATTGGTCTATTTCCTTTCTTTCTGTGTCTCCATCTCTGTCTCTCCCAGTGACTGTCCCAGGGGCCGTTTCTTGACCACCATCTGCCAAGGTGAGACCCCAAAACTCATAACCCTCTCCTTTAGACCCTTGGGGAGGCCACATCCCCTCAAGTGCCCCAAGGTGGAGCTGGCCGTGTCCTTTCAGACCCCCTAGGTCAGGGCCAAGCCTGGGTTCTGGGGGCCTGGACTCCAGTCCCCTGTTGCCGCCCCAGCTGCCCCCTGTCCCACAGACTGTGGCCGCAGGAAGCTGCCTGTAGACCGCATCGTGGGAGGCCGGGACACCAGCCTGGGCCGGTGGCCGTGGCAAGTCAGTCTTCGCTATGATGGAGCACACCTCTGTGGGGGGTCCCTGCTCTCCGGGGACTGGGTACTGACAGCTGCCCACTGCTTCCCAGAGTGAGTGCCCCCTACGGCGCTGATGAAGGAGAGGCAGAGGAGTGGAGAGGCGGTGGGGAGGGAGGTGGATGGTGCCCAGGCAGGCTGCCACCCTCCACCCCTTTCCCTGGTAGGCGGAACCGGGTCCTGTCCCGATGGCGAGTGTTTGCTGGTGCTGTGGCTCAGGCCTCTCCCCATGGCCTGCAGCTGGGGGTGCAGGCTGTGATCTACCACGGGGGCTATCTTCCCTTTCGGGACCCCAACAGCGAGGAGAACAGCAACGACATTGCCCTGGTCCACCTCTCCAGTCCCCTGCCCCTCACCGGTAAGTCTGAGGGCTGAGCCTTGGGCTTGGAGACTCGAGGCCAGGAGGACAGAGGAGGGGACCAGGGGCACAGGGGAATCAACTTACGGTTCAGGCATCCCTAGCAATAGTGGGGGATGATCTCGAGGGAGCAACAGTGGCCTTAACTATCAATGATCGGGAAAACTCGCCAGCATTTCCCCAAGAAGAAATATCAGGTTACCAATGGACCCAACACTTCCACTCCTAGGGTAGGAGGTAACATGCCCCAGACAGTTGAAAAGGGCGTTCATAGCAGCATTATTCATAAGAGCCCAAAGATGGAAGCAGCCCAAGTGTGTTCCATCAGACAAATGGATAAAGAAAATGTGGGATATTGGCCGGGCGTGGTGGCTCACGCCTGTAATCCCAGCACTTTGGGAGACCGAGGCTGGGGATCCTCTTATGGCCATGGTTAAGAACACGGCCGGGCACAGTGGCTCACACCTGTAATGCCAGTGCTTTGGGAGGCTGAGGCAGGAGGACTGCTTGAGCCCAGGACGTGGAGGCTGCAGTGAACCATGCTCCTGCTACTGCACCCTGGCCTGGGTGACACTGCAGGCTTGGAAAGTGAACAAGCTGTGTGAAACTTTGGGCGTGTGACTTGACCTCTTTTTCCCCCTCTGTAAAATGGGATAATATAGACCTGACCTCTCTGGGCTGATGGAATATGAAAGTAAAAGGTGCAGGGAAGCGCCTGCCACGCAGTGAGCTCTGGGTAGATGGAGACTTCTGCTGAGGTGTTTCGTTGGTGGTGGTGGTGCGTTTTTTTTTTTTTTAGACAGAGTCTCACTCTGTTGCCCACACTGGAATGCAATTGCACGATCTCAGCTCACTGTAACCTCCACCTGTTGGGTTCAAGCAATTCTCCCGCCTCAGCCTCTCAAGTAGCTGGGATTACAGGTGCATGCCACTGTGCCCAGCTAAATTTTGTAATTTTACTAGAGACGGGGTTTCACTATGTTGGCCAGGCTGGTCTCGAACTCCTGACCTCAAGTGATCCTCCCACCTCAGCCTCCTAAAGTGCTGGAATTACAGGTGTGAGACACTGTGCACAGCCTGTTGTGGTTGTTTTAAAAGGACAGAGGGTGGGGTGTGTTTGGGCCGTGGCGGCAGCTGGACAGAGGTTGGTACAGGGTGGGGCAGGCCAGCGGGGGCTGGACCGGCATGGTCTCTCTCACAGAATATATCCAGCCTGTGTGCCTCCCAGCTGCTGGCCAGGCTCTGGTGGATGGCAAGATCTGCACCGTGACGGGCTGGGGCAACACGCAGTACTATGGTGAGTCCTGTCCTCTGCCTCTGATGCCACCGTTTGGAAGATTGAACTAGGCTGGGGACAGGCAGTCTGGCTGGTTGGATGAGTCTTGACCATGAGGAGTAGGGACACTGAGGGGCATGGGGTGGGCACCGGGAGGGAAGGCGGTGTGCATACCCCCCAGTTCTGGCCAGCCTTGCCCGCACGCCCCCAGGCCAACAGGCCGGGGTACTCCAGGAGGCTCGAGTTCCCATCATCAGCAATGATGTCTGCAATGGTGCTGACTTCTATGGAAACCAGATCAAGCCCAAGATGTTCTGTGCCGGCTACCCCGAGGGTGGCATTGATGCCTGCCAGGTGAGGGACTGTGTGGGGCAGCCCCCCACCACTACCACCCGAGGGATGGAGACGCAGGGTAGTGAGTGGGTGGGCTCCCTATCTAAAAGCCTGAGGGCTCTGGGGCCACCACCCACCATCATCCCAGGGGGCCTTCTGGCTGGCCACCTTGGCCTCCAGTCAGGCCTCCCTGTCCCCTCCCAGGGCGACAGTGGTGGTCCCTTTGTGTGTGAGGACAGCATCTCTCGGACACCACGTTGGCGGCTGTGTGGCATCGTGAGCTGGGGCACTGGCTGCGCCCTGGCCCAGAAGCCCGGTGTCTACACCAAAGTCAGTGACTTCCGGGAGTGGATCTTCCAGGCCATTAAGGTGAAAGTTGGGCCCAGATGGGAGCCAGGGTGGGGATGTTTGGGCCTCTAACCGGGGAAGGGAGGCAGAGATCTGTTTTAGGAGACCTACACTCAGGCCTAGAAGAGGGACCCCCTGGGGAGCAGATGGACTTCAAAGGGCTCCTGGGGAGGGGAGGCCAGTGGTGGGATGTGGAAGCCTCTCAGACCTCAGGAGCCCCCAGCTGTCTTTCCCCAGACTCACTCCGAAGCCGGTGGCATGGTGACCCAGCTCTGACTGGTGGCTTCCTGCTGCGCAGCCTCCAGGGCCTGAGGTGATCTCCGTGGTGGGATCCACGCCGGGCCTAGGATGGGACGTTTTTCTTCTTGGGCCCTGTCCCCAGGTCCAAGGATACCCTCCCTCTAGGGTCCTCGCTTCCACAGTGGCGGGCCCACTCAGCCCCGAGACCACCTGACCTCACCATCCTGATCCCCATGTAAATATTGTTCTGCTGGCTGGGACTCCTGTCTAGGTGCCCCCGATGACAGGATGCTCTTTAAATAATAAAGATGGTTTTGATTAATGTGGCCTCCGAGCTTACAAATTTACACAGCAATCTGGACGTTTTACAGGGAGGGAGGGGAAGAATTAGGATCTGGAGCAAATCGGGCAGAGTGTATGGGTCCCTCAGTTCCCACTGACTTTAGAAATAAGATTTTGGCCAGGCATGGTGGCTCACAGCTGTAATCACAGCACTTTGGGAGGTAGAGGTGGGCAGATCCCGAGGTCAAAAGATCGAGACCAGCCTGGTCAACATGGTGAAACCCCATCTCTACTAAATATACAAAAATTAGCTGGGCATGGGGTCGCGTGCCTGTAGTCTCAGCTACTTGGGAGGCTGGGGCAGAAGAATCACTTGAACCAGGGAGGCGGAGGTTGCAGTGAGCTGAGATGGTGCCACTGCACTCCAGTCTGCTGACGGAGCGAGACTCTGTCTCAAAAAAAAAAAAAAGTAAGATTTTAATTGAGTCACTTAACTGGAATTGCCCTGGAGCATATTGGCTTCAGGTACTGCTGGATTCAGCTGCTCTGCATTACTCTGTGTTAGCTTCATTTCCAAGGAAAGGGAAACAAGCTGTGTAAAACAGCCTCTCCTACAGCCAGAAACAGAGCTGTCCCTTTCCGCACAAACTCTTTCCCAATCACTTCTGCAGAAAAAGTCCCAGGCAAAAACAAAATTCCAGGCCCAGCTCCCATTATTGATTTGGGTCACACGTGCTCATCCTTTGGCAAATCACTGTGCACCAATGCATGGGGTATGGGCAGATGGGGTATGAGCAGATGGGGTGGAGTGGGAGGAGCTAGGCCTTCAAGAACCACGTGTCCCAAAGGAAATAGGGTGCTAGTTCCAGAAATGGAAATAGATGCTCAGTGAGCAAAAAAGGCATCTACCTTGGAGCAACATGAAAATGGGGTCCTGTAAGATGGAGACAGGGGCGCCAGACCCTGGGAACAAAACCTGAGACACCGCCCCCCGCCACACCCCTTTCTCCATCTGGCAGCTTCTGGGAAGAGAACGCCCTTTTCTAGAGCCTCTGCAGAGCCTCACGCAGCCCCAGTGGCCACCAGAGGGCACTGCTGCCTCAACATTGCGAGACAAGAGCTTTCCTGCCTGGAATCCGCCACGTGTTGCTGAAAACCTGCTGTTCCACTGAAGAAAGGCTCACCTGGGGCCTGTTTTATCAGCCAGGTCTTTGTCACCTGTATCTTGTGCGGACCTACAATCTCATCCTCTGACTTAAAAAGCCTTAACTTACTGGGAATGGCCCAGCTGGTCTCAGTCTTATTTTTACCCATGCCCTATTCAAGGTGGAGTCGCTCTGGTTCAAACACCTCTCTGACAGCCATTCTGAGTTCCATCTGCATTATTGCTTTCTTGGAGGAGTGGAGGGGCTGGGGAGATTGTGATTCACTCTGTAAGGTCTTTTACACTGACCGACAGTGCCAAGGATGCTATGGTAACCCCTGTGGCCTGCACGGACACTCCAGATGAGTTCCTGAAAAATCTGAAGTAACTGGAAGACCACGGAAAGGGGAAGAATGATCAACCCTAGCAGCGCCTAATTAACTTGACAGGTTCTTCTATTGTTTCATATTCCCACCTCAATTGATAAGGCAATTGGACTTTGTAACTGACCTGTGACTCCAGACCCTACGACCTGCTCCTAGCTTGCAAAAACCACCCTAAACTGTAACTTCTGTAACTTTCCACTGCCTACTCCAAACCTATAAACCCAACTCCTATCCCACCGCCCTTCGCTGACTCTCTTTTCGGACTCAGCCTGCCTGAACCCAGGTGAATAAACAGCCATGTTGCTCACGCAAAGCCTATTGTGGGGGGGGGGTTTGAGTGCACGTTTTAACACATTCAACAGTCATTCACTAGTTACCTTGTATGCCAGGGATCTGTGAGCAGGAGTTTCTCCTCCTGCTCCCAGCAACCTTACCACTCACCCCAAGGAGCCAGAAAGATATTAGAAAAAATAATAACAGTCACAAGGTTGCTTTGAGGTCCTGCCAGGATCTTGGTCTTCAGAAAAGCTGAATATGAAAATTACTTCCATGTCATTGTGGTGCCACTCAGAGTCAGAAATATTTGACCCATCTTATGGAATGAGTGCAACTACACCAGGAACCCAAGCCAAGTTTTACATTCCTATTTAGCAGTTATATCTACATATTCCCTTTCAAATATAGAAAAGCTTTCTGGATGTCACTTGGAACCGATAGCTCTGTATGTGGTTATACGTTGGCATTCTGCCAGTCGGGTTGAAGGAGAAATGTACAGCTACTCTGCCACAACAGTTATTTCATACATAAAATCACAGCCATGATTAGCAATGATGGTGAAGGTCATTCATTTTATATTCCGAAATAATTATTGCAAACATTCAGATAGCAGTGTAAGTAGGGAGATGGACTTTAGTTTCTGCATAAAAAGTAACAGTTTCAATCCTGCAGTTATGAAGTGAGGAGCTGTTTTGGCTCTTGCTGCATGACAAACCACCCCAAGCTAGTGGGTACAGTGAATGCTCATGGATTCTATGACTCAGAAAGTTGGACAGGGAACAGTAGGGACAGCTTGTCTCTGCTCCATGATGACCAGGTCCTCAGCTAGAAAGCCTAAAGGAACAGGGACTGGAATAGGGAGGCTTCATTTGTTTGTTTTGAAACAGGGTACCACTCTGTTGCCCAGGCTGGAGTGCAGTGGTGTGATCATGGCTCACTGCAACCTTTACCACTTGGGCTCAAACAATCCTCCCAACTTAGCCTCCCATAGCCGGGACTATAGGTGTGTGACACCATACCCAACTCCCTTTTTTTTTTTTGTAGAGATGGGGTTTCACCATGTTGCCCAGGCTGGTCTTGAACTCCTGGCTTGAGTGATCCTCCTGCCTCGGTCTCCCAAAGGGAGGCGCTTTACTCACAAGTCTAGTACCTGGGCTGGGATGACTTAAAGGCTGGGCTCAGCTGGTAGCTGGACTCATTGTCTGGCTGGCTGACTTGGGCTTCCTTCCAATATGGCTACCACAAGACATTTGAACTTCTCACCTGGTGGCTCAGGGCTCCAGAGTGAGCATTCCAGGAGACACTGCCCTTTACACCTCAGCCTCATTTCTGCTCTACTCTGTCTGCTGAAGCAATCACAAACCTGCCCAGATTCTATAGGAGGAGACGGAGACCCCACCCTTTGTTGGTGGATGGCAGGTCAAAAAATTTGGGGCCACATCTTAAAACTGCCCTAGGAACTTGTGGACTATAGGAGCAAATTAACAGCTGACAAAGCAGATAAATGATCCCTCAGTAAAGTGTTCGACCTGAAACATTTTCCTGCTCAAATTGTGGATAATAGAATTATGATGGTAATAACTTTTTTTTTTTGAGATGGAGTTTCCCTCTTGCCACTCAGGCTGGAGCGCAATGGCGAAATCTCAGCTCACTGCAACCTCTGCCTCCCAGGTTCAAGGAATTCTCCGGCCTCAGCCTCCCGAGTAGCTGGGACTACAGGTACCTGCCACGATGCCCAGCTAATTTTTTTGTATTTTTAGTAGAGACGGGTTTCGCCGTATTAACCAAGATTGTCTTGATCTCCTGGCCTCATGATCCGCCTGCCTCAGACTCCCAAAGTGCTGGGATTAAAGGCATGAGCCACCGCGCCCAGCCAATAGTAACAACTATTTAAAACACTTTCAGATTTGTTCTTAAATTACAGAAATTCATTCTAAGAAGGTGATATTCAGCTTTGGGAAAATCTTTTAACACTTTGCTAGTTAGCATTTGGCCACAATGTCTGTTTCACTTCTAAATAATAATAATGTCTATTAATAAACATATGCATGCATATTTTTGAGTACTTCCTGTGTGCCAGGTACTGTCCTGAGAGTTTTACATATGTTACTTCAGTATTTCCCCAAATTCATACATATGAAAGTGGCTGTCTTAATTTTTGCTATTTATTTATTCAACTAATATTTATTAAGCACCTATTATGTGCCAGGCATTGTTATAGGTGCTAGAGAAATATAGGGGACAGAACAAACCAACATCCCTGCCCTTATGGAGCTCGAGGCAAACAACGAACAAACACCATGGTGCTACTTGTGTTATTTCATTCAAATTATCTCTTCTCCTTTTTTTTTTTTTTTTTTTGAGACAGAGTTTCGCTCTTGTTACCCAGACCGGAGTGCAATGTCACGATCTCAGCTCACCGCAACCTCCGCCTCCTGGGTTCAGGCAATTCTCCTGCCTCGGCCTCCTGAGTAGCTGGGATTACAGGCACGCACCACCGGGTATGCCCAGCTAATTTTTTTTGTTTTTTTAGTAGAGATGGGGTTTCACCATGTTGACCAGGATGATCTCGATCTCTTGACCTCGTGATCCACCCGCCTCGGCCTCCCAAAGTGCTGGGATTACAGGTATGAGCCACCGCGCCCTGCTTCTTCTCCTTTCTTTTTGTCTTCCTCTTTTTTCAACTTAGCCTTGACTTTATTTATTAATTATTATTATTATTATTATTATTTTGAGATAGAGTCTTACTCTGTTGGCCAGGCTGGAGTGCAGTGGCACGATCTTGGTTCACTGCAACCTCTGACTCCCTGGCTCAAGCAATTCTCCTGCCTCAGCCTCCCGAGCAGCTAGGATTACAGGGGTGTGCCAACACGCCTGGCTAATTGTATTTTTAGTAGAGATGGGGTTTCACCATGTTGGCCAGACTGATCTTGAACACCTGACGTCAGGTGATCCACCTGCCTCAGCCTCCCAAAGTGCTGGGATTACAGGTGTGAGCCACCGCGTCAGGTCCTGGTTCACAGCCTGTGGCTCTGTTCATACCTGAGGCATTTTCCCTGCAGACTGGCCAGGCCTTTGTGCCCTGTTCTGGGCCAATGGGTCCCATGCCACTGCACTCTAGCTGGGGTGACAGAGCAAGTCTTCGTTTCAAAAAAATTAAAAAGCATAGGTCAGATCTCCTCAGATTCCTGATTAAAAGCATCCCTAGGTCTCCCTTACCTCTGGGATGAAAGTTGACCTCCAGGCCTCCTCCTAAGAGGCCCCCATGGCTGCCTCTCCCTGCTCACGCTGCCTCCTCCTACACTGGCTTTGTTTAGCTCACTCCACACTGAGGATCAGCCACACTGGCCTCTGCTGTCCCTGGACCACGCCAGACGCCTTCACACCGCTGGGCCTTATGGGCCTTTGCACCTGCTATTCCCCCGGCCTGGAAGGCTCTTCCCCAGACACGCACATGGCTGGCTCCTTCCATCATGCGGGCCTTGGCTCCCATGTCACCTCTGCAGAGAGGCCCCCCCGGCCACTGTCTTCAAATCAGCCACTGGGGCTCAGCCACTCTGTGCTAGGTAAAGCTGGGTAGCACAGATCTGACCCAGTTTCTCCATGTGAAATGATCTTTTATTTATTGCTAGTTTCTTGTCCATCCCCCACTCTAGAATAGGTCAGCATAGTTTTATGGTAAAAGGCCAGATAATAAATATTTCAGGCTTCCTGGGCCACACGCTGCCACAGCTACTCAAAGCTCCTGTTGTAACACAAGAACAACCGCAGGCGATACGCGGACCAGCGAGCCGCTTCCATGAAGATGTTATTTATAGACGTCGGAATTTGAATTTTACATGATTTTCACGCCTCACAAAATAGTCCTCTTTTGATTTCTTTTTTTCTAACCATTTAAACATATCAAGACTATTCTTAGATTGTAGGCTGTGCCAAAGCAGGTGGAGGGCCAGATTTGGCCCCAGGGGCGCGGCTTGTGAACGTCTGCACTAGAACACCTGCTTCACGAGGTCAGCGATCTCTGTCTTGGTCATCGTTGTGTCCCCAGGCCCTAGGATGTGGGGCGGAGACCCCATAAGTGCCACGGAAGAAGTCAGGAGCTTCAGCTTATTCCCATATAAATCATGAAGAAGAAAATATACATAGTAGTTATTCATAGGTGATCTTAGTTATTCATAGGTGATGGTAGTTCTTTTACTAATGCCTCTCAGGTCTCGAAGTGTGAGCCTGGGGTGACATTATGAAAGGAATGACCCTAACACAAGACGCTTTTAGCCCTCTGTCCCTCCCGTGTAAGGGCTGCTGGAGGGTGCCTTGGCTATGCGGCAGTGCCAGCGCTGGGAAAGCGCCCGCAGTTTAGCAAGCTATAGGAGCAAATGTCAGAGATGTCTCCTTCCCCAGAGGAGTTAGGAGAAAACTCTGCTCCTCCAAGCTCTTGTGTAGGCCTGACGGCTGTCGGGGAGGCCCGCAGACATCCGGGGGCTTAACTGTCTCTACGTGATGCTGTGCTTCAGCGGTCATGTTCCATGTCCACTCTTATATTCCACTTCCGCACCTGGTTCCTTTGTTCTTAGAAGAGATCATCAGTAAAAGTAATATAAATCTTAATGGCTTTGTTTCTTCTTGACAAGTACGGAAAAGTGCTGATGCATTATGCTCCTTACCTCATCTCAGCTACTAGAAAGTCTTGGGCCCCTACCTAGATGACATGTGATGTACCTGACCCTATCACTGACCACCAATGCCATGCCCTACCTGCCCTGCCCCCGGCTTTGTACTCGATAAGTCAGAGTGTCCAGGCCAGTCGGGGCTGCTGCCGGATTCCGTGCTTTGGTTGGCAGTGGACCCCTGGGCCCAAACTCTGTTTTCTCTTTCTTGGTGTCTTGTGTCTTTTATTTCCACAGTTTCTCGTCTCCACACCTGTAGGGAGGGGCTCACAGGACCCTGTAGGGCTGGACCCTGCACGAGGATGTTCCTAGGGTGTGATTTTTTTTGAGACAGAGTCTTGCTCTGTCACCTAGGCTGGAGAGCAGTGGCACCATCTCGGCTCACTGCAGCCTTCAGCTCCCGGGTTCAAGTGATCCTCCCACCTCAGCCTCCCGCTAGCATGTAGTGGATGCTAAAGTGGAACACATGTGTGCTATAGAGAAGGCTTCGACACGTTCATTCATTCTTTCAACAGGTATCCATGGAGGTTTTCCACGAGCTGGGCCCTGGGGAGATAACAGGAACATCACTTGAACTTGGAGCAGTGAGTTGACGTCTTGCATTGAATGGCTTGTGTTCCTCCAGAGCTGACCTGTCCCCCAAACAGCCACCATGAGCTCTGGGGCTCCTCCTGTCCCAGCTCCTGCACTGAGCCTGACCTGCCGAACAGCTGCCCGACACTGTGCCAGCACAGTTGCCAGTGTGACCCAGGCTTTGTGCTCAGTGGCACAGACTGTGTGCCTCCCATCCAATATGGCTGCACCATGGCGGGGCAGGTGTCACCCGGCCGGGGAGGTCCTCTGAGCTGGGGAGCACTGTGAGCAATTCTGCCACTGCCAAGCTTCCACCCATACCATGTACTGCTCTCCCTCCTCCTGTGGGCCAGGGCAGAGATGTGGGATCCTCAGCGGCATCTTTGGGTGCCACCCGCTCTCCCCTGGCACCTGCCAGGCAGCTGGGCACTCACATATCATCACTATTGATGGGAAAAGTGTTGAGTTCTCCGGTACCTGTGTGTCCGTCTTTGCCGAATCCTGTGGCTCCTCCAGCTCATTGCCGTTCTTCAGGGTACAGCTGGGAAAAGAGCACAGACCCAGCAGCCCCCTCATGCCCGTCTTGGAGGTGTCTGTCCAGGTTAATGGGACCCAGGTCCACCGGCAGAGGGGCAGCCCAGGCATGGCTCAGGGAAGCACCCAGCTCTGAGGACGTGGGTTCTAGGAACCCTAACCCTTCACCCAAACCCACAGCCCCAAGGGAAAAACGTATTCTGCCTCCTTTATTTCCACATTTTACCTCTCTTCTGATTACACGCCCATTTTTGTCTATATCTATCAGAGGCATTCAGTTAAAACAACAGAAACAATCTCAGACCTCCTTAAGAAAAAAGAATTATTGGTTTACACAATAGTTATTGGGCAAGTGTGGCTTGCAGTTCCTGTTTCCTTACCCACCGCCTTTTCTACTCCAGGCTCAGCCGCCACGTGGCGAAGCACAGCAGCTCCCTGCAATGCTTGGATCCGCGCTGGTCGCGGCTCTGCGGCATCTGCCCCGCGGCGGCCACCTGCTCCGAGGGCTAAGCCTATGATAACGCCCACCTGTGCACAGGGGCCAGGTGCATGCACAGGGGCCAGGTGCGTGCACTCGCCTGTAGTCCCAACTACTTGGGAGGCTGAGGCAGAAGAATTGCTTGAACCTGGGAGACGAAGGTTGCAGTGAGCTGATATCATGCCACTGCACTCCAGCCTGGGCGACAGAATAAGATTCTGTCTCAAACAAACAATACAATAAAATACGGGTCGGGCGCAGCGGCTCACACCTGTAATCCCAGCACTTTGGGAGGCTGAGGCGGCGGATCACAAGGTCAGGAGTTGGAGACCAGCCTGGCCAATATAGTGAAACCCCGTCTCTACTAAAAATACAAAAATTAGCCAGGTATGGTGGCAAAAATTAGCCGGGCATAGTGGCGGGCACCTGTAATCCCAGCTACCTTGGAGGCTGAGGCAGGAGAATTGCATGAACCCAGGAGGTGGAGGTTGCAGTGACCTGAGATCGTACCATTGCCCTCCAGCCTGGGCAACAGAGTGAGACTGCATCTCAATAAGTAAATAAATAAATTAAATTAAAAAGTAGCTGGGCATGGTGGTGCACACCACCAGCACTGCCATTATCACCACCAGCATCATTTTAGTACAACCACCACCATCACCACCAGCATTACCATCATCACCATCGTTACCACAGCCACAACCATCACCACCACCACCACCACCACCATCATCACTATCATCATCACTATCATTACCATCATCACCATCATCATCACTATCGTAACCATCATCACCACCACCATTACCACCATTAACATCATCACCACCACCACCACCATCATCACTATCATCACCATCATCACCATCATCATCACTATCATAACCATCATCACCATCATCACCACCACCACGATTACCACCATCACCACCACCATTACCACCATTAACATCATCACCACCGCCACCATTACCACCATTAACATCATCACCACCGCCACCATTACCACCATTAACATCATCACCACCGCCACCATTACCACCATTAACATCATCACCACCGCCACCATTACCACCATTAACATCATCACCACCACCACCATTACCACCATTAACATCACCACCACCACCATCACCACCAGCATTACTATCATCACCATCACCACCATCATCCTTACCACAGCTACAACCATCACCACCACCATCACCACCACCATCATCACTATCATCACTGCCATCATCACTATCATCACTGCCATCATTATCACTGTTACCACAACCACACCTTCATCACCACTGCCATCATCACCATCACCACCAATATCACTATCACCATCACCACTATGATCACCACCACCACCATTAACATCATCATCATCACCACCACCATCACCATTACTGCTATAATCACCATTGCCATTATCACCACCACCACCATCATTGTTACCACAACCACAACCATCACCACCACCGCTATCACCACCACCACCATCACCATCATTACCGTCGCCATCAACACCATCACATCACCACCATCACCATCACCATCACACCACCATCATAATCACACCACCATCATTATGCTACATCCTGCTGATGCCTCCACCGCCCCCCCTTTGCCTTTATGACTTACCCTTGGCCCCTGCCACCCTCTCTCTGCTCCCTTGGTCCTCTTCTGGTTGGAAATGCTCCAGAATAGTAATGTTTTCCCAATTATTTAACCCCCACCTGTTTTCTTCCAGAGCTGGCCTGTCCTCTCCACAGCCATTACGAGCTCTGCGGCTCCTCCTGTCCCAGCTCTTGTACCGGGCCTGCCCAGCCTGACAGCTGCTCGACTCCGTGCCAGGATGGCTGCCAGTGTGACCCAGGCTTTGTGTTCAGTGGCATTGACTGCGTGTCCCCATTGAGTGTGGCTGCTCCATGGGAAGCAACTTCCACGTCGCCTCCTTTGATGGGAAGAGTTGAGTTTCCAGGCACTTGCACTTCTGTTTTTACCAAGTCCTGTGGCCCCTTTTCAAGCTGGAACTTGGGAAGGAGAACAAGTCCAGCAGCCCCAGTGTGTTCATTTCAAAGATGTCTATCAAGGTTCATGGGACCCAGGTTTGTCTGCAGAGAGAGCCCTGACTTGGCTGAGGTAAGCACTCATTGGTATCTAGAGACTCTTGAACTGATTGAAGCTAAAAGAAATACATTGGCTCAAACTGAGTAAAAATCATGTGACATGGCCCAGTGAAAGTGTAGAGATTCTGGGTCCACAGAAGTTCTCTGCCACTTTGATTGTTTTGGTTACACATAACAGAAAGCCTTGGCCAGGCGTGGTGGATCGCGCCTGTAATCCTAGCACTTTGGGAGGCCGAGGCAGGTGGATCATGAGGTCCAGAGATCAAGACCATCCAGGCTAACATGGTGAAACACTGTCTCTACTAAAAATAAAAAAATTAGCCGGGCATGATGGTGGCCACCTGTAATCCCAGCTCCTCAGCTACTTGAGAGGCTGAGGCAGTAGAATTGCTTGAACCCAGGAGGTGGATATTGCAGTGAGCCAAGATTGTGCCACTGCACCCCAACCTGGGCAACAGAGTAAGACTCTGTCTCAAAAATCCAAAAATCCAAAAATCAAGTAACAGAAAGCCTCATAAAAACTAACTCAAACCAGTCACAGATTGTGTTTTGTGATTTTTAGATTAATTACATAACTGAAAATTCCAGAGGGAGATCAGGCATGGTTTCATCAGGGTGCTAACCCAGTTTCTCAGCATTTCTCTTGGTCTGTAGTTCTCTGTAGCAATAGCTTTGTCCTCAGGATGGCTTTTCTTGTGTGGCATAATAACTGCCAAGTTTCCAGTCCTTACATGTGTATTCCCCATTGTCCAAAACCCAAATCTTTTCTTACCCCAAGTACTCAACAAAAATTCCAATGCCTCACTTTGATTAACCCCACTGAGCCAATCACTGCAGCCCAGAGGTTTTCTTAAGCCAATCCAATCCTATCCTCAGGAGTTGTAGGTGGGAGAGACCCTGCCCCCACCCCCCACCTCTCGAAGCCACTTCTTGCAGGGAGAGAGGGCAAAAGGGGAACCCACCCCCATGTCCCGATGTTCCTCCAAGCTAGTATTTCTTCCTAACAATCTTGGAAGAATGTAAATCCCCTGATAAAGCTCCATTCTGAGACCTGAAACTTTTGTCTAGAACCCACAGGGGTGGCTGTGTTTTCCATGCCCAAGGGCCCCTGCCTACAAGAGTTTCATTGTTGGCTATTGGAAAACACACAGCCGCACCCCTCCCACTCCACCCCGTTCCAGGAAGGGAACCAGCTTTTGGAATTAGTCATGCTGTCAGCACCCCACACAATAAGCCCATTGACTCCAAAGGGCAGCCCAGCAGATGGACTGCTGATATTATCCCTGTGGTACAGATGGGGAAACTGAGGCCCAGAAAGGGATACTTGCTTGCTTAACCTCATACAGGGAGAAAGTGGTGGAGCTAAGATTTGAACCCAGGCTGTCAGGCTCTGAGTCCCTTCCCTCTGTCTGTAGGCCTACTGTGTGCTCCCAAAGCTATGACCAAATTAAGGAGAGTGGCATGCCTGATTCATCTGTGATGGTGCCTGGGATATATGGTAACTCTCAAGAATGGCGTTCATTAGACCGGTGTGGTGGCTCACCCCTGTAATCCCAGCACTTTGGGAGGCTGAGGGGGTGGATCACCCAAGGTCAGGAATTTAAGACCAGCCTGGTCAACATAGTGAAAACCTATCTCTACTAAAAATACAGAAAATTAGGGCCGGGCGCGGTGGCTCAAGCCTGTAATCCCAGCACTTTGGGAGGCTGAGGCGGGTGGATCACTAGGTCGAGAGATCGAGACCATCCTGGTCAACATGGTGAAACCCCGTCTCTACTAAAAATACAAAAAATTATTTGGGCATGGTGGTGCGTGCCTGTAATCCCAGCTACTCAGGAGGCTGAGGCAGGAGAATTGCCTGAATCCAGGAGGCGGAGGTTGCAGTGAGCCAAGATTGCGCCATTGCACTCCAGCCTGGGTAACAAGAGCGAAACTCTGTCTCAAAAAAAAAAAAAACAAAATATTAGCTGGGCATGGTGTGCCTGTAATCACAGCTACTCAGGAGAATCACTTGAACCTGGGAGGCAGAGTTTGCAGTGAGCCGAGACTGTGCCACTATACTCCAGCCTGGGCAACAAGAGTGAAACTCCACCTCAAAAAAAAAAAAAAAAAGAATGGCGTTCATCCACCCATTAAATACTTCGTGAGCACCTACTATGTGCCAGACCCTAGACTCAGTGCTGGGGAAATGGCAGCAGGTGGAATGGTCAAGATCTCTCCCTTGTGGAACTGAGATTCCAGAGGGGAGAGAGACAATAGCCATGACCAGTAAGTGTGAATTACACAGTGTGTCAGGAGGCAGCGTGTGAGGGAAGAAAATACACAACAGGACGGGGAGGGGCGGTGGTGGCTTCCAGACGGAAAACATGGTTTTAAATGGAGAAGCCAAGGAAAACCTCCTTGAGAAGGTAATATTTGAGCAGAACCCCAAGAAAGAGGAGAGAGAGGTCCATGTGCACATCTAGGGGTGAGCCCGGCAGGGGTTGGATGGTGCCTGGTGCAATGGAGGAGCTGCAGGGAGGTTGGTATGGCTGGAGCTAAGGGAGTGAGGGTTGGGGAGAGGAGATGATGTCAGAGAGGTGATGGGGACCAGATGGAAGGGACTTACAGGGCTAGTGAGGACTTGGCTTTTGCCTGGAGCGAGGTGCTCCCAGGACAGTGCTCTGAGCCAGGCTGACCCTGACAGGGCTCAGGTGGCCCCAGGCTCCCTCTGGCTGCAGGTGGGAACAGACTGAGGGGGACGGGGCCAGACCAGGGAGGAGGCTCTAGGACCTCCAGGCTGGAGGAGACAGAGGCTGGGCCAGGTAAGGGCAGTGGGAGGGGAGAAGTGGATGGTTCTGGAAATATTCTCTGGTGTCTTATCTGCTCTTCAAACCCTGCTGTCTGTTCCTGGGGCCCTCAAGGTTACATGGGCCCCTGTTGATTTTTAGTACTCCCGTGATCCCCCGCAATCACACAGGGTGTGTGTGCGCCAGATGTGGGTTAAAATCCTGACTGCCCCTTCGTAAACTGGGTGACTTGCTGCCAAGCAACTAAGCCTGGGTGCCTCAGTTTCCCCAAGTGGAAGAAGAACTCCCCACAGGCAGTTAAGTCCTGAGGCCGCAAGTGCCAGGGTTGTTGGTTGAGAATAGAGAGACAGTCAGCAATTGTAGGTCAATGACTCAGGCCTGAGCAGGGGTGTGGTGCTGGCGCTGGCGCTGGCTGAGTGCAGCACTGCCTTCTTGGATGCCCGGGTGCAGGGGGAAAGGGATGTGGAGATGGGCCCCGGCTGCCAGCAGGCAGTGCCTCCCCACAGCAGAGGGTGCCAGCCAGGCTCTTAGAATTGCAGACTCATGGTCCTACCTCTGCAGCCAGGAGGGAGCCTGCCAGCCCCAGCGCCAGCCTCAGAGCCATGAAGCTCCCGCCGGGCCGGGGCCAGAGCTGGGGGGCCGGGAGGGGTTAAATCATCCACAGCCAGGAAGGAGGAGAGCTGGGGCCTGAGGGGCAGTGGACCACGGAGAACTGATCCAGGAGGAAGGAAAAGGGAAACGTTGTGGGAGGGCCAACAAGAACACAGGCTTGTATGAAAAAGACAAAAATATATAGATAAAATATTTAATATATACTATATAGTAATATACATAAATATATAGTTTCTTAAGTTCACTTAAATTCTGTTGCCTTGACTGTTTGTTTACCTGGTTCAAACATTACTTTTCCCTCCACTCTTTTGGTGTTTTTTATCTTGTGATTTATTATTTTGTGTTAACTTTAATATTATATTTTTAAGGGCCAGGCACAGTGACTCATGCTTGTAATCCCAGCACTTTGGGAGGCCGAGGTGGGCAGATCACTTGAGGTCAGGAGTTCAAGACCAGCCTGACCAACATGGTGAAACCCCATCTCTACTAAAAAATTACAAAAATTAGCCGGACTCTCTTCCTGGATCCTCAGGCGGATGCACCCTCTCTTCCTGGACTTGGGAGGACAGTATGGGGTTCTCTGCTGCACGCCCCGAGACGCCTCCGAGGCTGCACCTGTTCGGTCCGTGCTGTACTCCTGGCCTTGTAGGTAGAAGGCAGGTCTGAGATGGGAGGTGACCAGAGCAAGTCTGGGATGGAGCAACCCCAAGCTCCACTCTCCGTTCCTCCCTCCCTCCCTTCCTCCCTCCAATCCTGCCTGCCTCCCTCCCATGAAGCCTCAAACCAGGCAGAGCTGGGGCCTGGGTCACCCCAGGGTGATAGATCTGCCACCCCAGCAATGGCTTCCAGGTGGAAATGAGAGTCCTTTTAGGCCAGGCCTTTCCAGAGATGCTGGAAACACAGCTTGTTATGTTGAAACGTCTGCTGTTGAAATGTTAGCGATTCTGCATTTTTGCAGCGCTTTGTAAACTAAAGGAAAGGTGTAACGGTTGGATTCCACCCTGGGACCTCAAGTTTGAGACCCTTCTCTTAGGGACGGAGTCAGGCTGGGAGGGGGCTGCAGGGCTCCCACTTGAACCAGATAGTCCCTGTCCCAGATGTCTAGTGACAAATGTGTTTCCTGCCCTCTGCTGCTTCCCTGTAGTTCCTGCCCACACCCAGGATCCCCAGCCATACACCTGAGCTTCACTGCCCTCCCCTGCCGTGATGGGGAAGCTGGCCAACAAATCGATTCCTCCATGCCCCCTGCCCCCATCAGCAGCTCTGTCCTCAGCACCCCACCTCAGCTCCTGCAAGGCCTCCTCGGATGGGGGTGGGGGAGAAAACCTTTCTTTCTCTTTTTTTTTTTTTGTTTTTTTGAGACAGTTTCGCTCTTGTTACCCAGGCTGGAGAGTGCAATGGCGTGATCTTGGCTCACCACAACCTCCGTCTCCTGGGTTCAAGCAATTCTCCTGCCTCAGCCTCCTGAGTAGCTGGGACTACAGGCGCGTGCCACCATGCCCAGCTAATTTTTGTATTTTTTATAATTATTTTAAATTTATTTTTATTTTTATTTTTTTAGAGATGAGATCTTTCTATGTTGCCCAAGCTGGTCTTGAACTCCTGGACTCAAAGGATCCTCCCACCTCGGTCCCTGCAAAGTGCTGGGTCTACGGGTGTGAGCCACTGTGCCCAGCCTGGTAATTAACAGATACTTCATGAGCACCCACTATGTGCCAGGCCCTGTTCTATAATTCAGATAAAAATTCCTGAGAGGAACGGAGGTGCTAGCAGGGGAGGCAGATAGCACCGCAAAAAAAGCAAATGGAGGCCAGGTGCAGTGCCTCACGCCTGTAATCCCAGCACTTTGGGAGGCTGAGGCGGGTTGGATCACAAGGTCAAGAGATCGAGACCATCTTGGCCATCATGGTGAAACCCTGTCTCTACTAAAAATACAAAAAATGAGCCAGGCAAGGTGGCACGTGCCTGTAGTCCCAGCTCCTCAGGAGACTGAGGCAGGAGAATGGATTGAACCTGGGAGGCCCTGACCTCTCTAGCCCCATCTTGCCCAGGAAGCGGGACCTTGCATATGGCTGTGACCACACCTCTCAGGCAGTCAGCCTGGCCGCTCAGACTCTGCCTGCAAAGTCTGCAGGCAGCAGACCACCCAACCAGCACCCTCTCCTGGCTGGGGGTGCCTCCAGCTGCCCTCTCTAGGGCCAGGAGCCTGCAGAAACACTCCCAGCCTTAATTAAATAAAGAGCAATGAAATTATTGAGACAAAATCAATAAAAGTTTGAATCAGTGGTGGTATAGCATGCTATGGCTTTGGTTTTGTGCTTCAATTCGGTGTTCCTGAAAACCCTGTCATGTTCAGAAACTATTTGTAGGTTTGGTTTTTTCGTTTTGCAAGAATTCCCAGGATATGGAGAAATCACAGCCATTTGCAGCCTCGACAGGTTCTTTGGGGCCAAATAATTCCAAAAGCAAAATAAGGACCTTTTTCAAATATGTTTATTATCTATATTATATGCAATATATTAATATATAAACCTATTACCTCTGTGCCTTTAAAACATAACTGACGTCAAATTGGCCAGAAGACTCACTCCAAAGGACACCTCATTCCTGATAGGGGGCAAGTGACTGCACAAACTCCGTTCCCACAGCCCTTTCTTATTCTTTTTTTCTTTTTCTTTTCTTTTTTTTGATATGGAGTCTCACTCTGTCACCCAGGCTGGAGTGCAATGGCACGATCTCAGCTCACTGCCACCTCCGCCTCCCGAGTTCAAGCAATTCTTGTGCCTCAGCCTCCCGAGTAACTGGGATTACAGGTGCTCACCACCATGCCCGGCTAATTTTTATTTTTGGTAGAGATGGGGTTTCAGCATGTTGCCTAGGCTGGTCTCAAACTCCTGACCTCATAGTCTGCCCGCCTCAGCCTCCCAAAGTGCTGGGATTACAGGCGTGAGCCACCTCGCCTGGTCCCATAGCCCTTTCTAAGGGTCTCTGTGTGCTCATTACACTGAGGTCTCTGAATCCTCCAGTCCCAGCCCAGCCCCAGCCCCAGCCCCAGCCCCAGCCTCAGCCCCGCCCCAACCCCACCCCAGCCCAGCCCAGCCCCAGCCCCACCCCAGCCCACCCCAGCCCAGCCCAGCACACACTTGGATGCAGCATGTTCACGTCCAGCCCAGGAAGAATTTATGGTTGACCTGGGTTGGGTAAAATTCCGTAAACATCTGTACATCAGAATGTAAGATCATGGTGTTTAAAACTACAGAACATTCAGAGATTGTCAGAAGGCTATAATTGCTGGTTCCTGGGTTGAAACTAGCCCTTAGATGTGTTTTGTTTGACCTGGAAAATTTTTAAAAAATCTGAACCCAATTTTTAAAATTAAACCTCTTTAAGGTAGTACATTTTCAGGATGCAAAATTCAAAAGCTATAAGAGGGCTTGTGATGCTGAGTGAGTCTCACTTCCACCCCATCCTCCAGCCTCCTAGTTCCCCTCCCCAGAAGCAGCCCTGGATGCCAATCCCCAAAAATATTTTATTCATTAGAAGTATATGCATATGCATTACGTTACCGCTCACAAACGACAGCACACTCCAGGGTTTCCCTACACCTTGTTTTTATTTTTATTTTTTCCCTTAGCAGTCTGTCTGGAAAGTACTTCTGTATCCATCCACAGGCAGTCGGGTTCCTCCAGGATTTTTAGACAACCGTTCTCCAGTTCACCCTGTTCAGGTGAAAGGCAGAGCACCCCCGACCCCCCCAGCTATCCTGCACACACCACGACTTGCTCTCGGCTGCCTGCAGTTCCCAGGCTTCCCAGCAGAGGGAAAACCATTCCACTCCCAAGACCCCCAAGGGGTTGTCCCAGACACAATCAAGCTTGAAGGGTCTGGGGAAGATGCTATCTGCCCAGACACAAAGACCCCCTTAGCTACACTGACTTGGCCCCCAGGCCTCTCCTTCCTGTTTCTATCTCTTCCTGGGGCTCTTGCTTGGAGCCCTATCCCAAGGGCCCCTCTTCCTTGTGGGGACTGACCCCTCCTTCACAGGGGTAGGAGGGAGCCTTGTCCTTGTCTAGGGAAGGCCTGGGATTGACAGCTTGCCCCAGGGAACCACAGAGAGAAAGGGTGTAGCTCTGGGCAAGTATTGCCCGCCCCATCCCTCCACGATGAGAACTGGGGTGGGGGGGGTCCTTCTTTGTGTCCCCAGCAGGGCAGTTCCTGGCAGAGCCTTGACCCGAACCCCCTTTTCCTGTCCTGTGCTTCATGCTCCCAGCAGCTGCCTCTCCCTGGCCTGGCCCTGTGGCCCTCCTCCCTGCCCCCACGATGGTGTTGGGGTCGCCTGGAGTCCAGCTGGTGGCCAGGGCAAAGCTTCCCCTTTCCTGGCCCTACCCCTCCCCGTGACCCCAATCCTCCGCCAACCGCTCAAAGAATCCTTGTTCTCCATCCAGCCCCCAGACAAAAGTCCCTCTGTCTAAGAAGGCGGAATTGAGGGGAGGGGGCACCCCCAACTGGGACCATGGGGGGGCCTGCACAGACCCCATCCGGAAGGAATGCCTGGAGGAGGAGGAGCAGGAGAGGGAGGAGGGAAGGGGGAGGGGGACTAGCACAGTGAAGGGGGCCTTATCTGGATTGGGAGGCCGCCGCCCCCAACAGCGCCCACTCTGCAGACCCAGCCATCTGGATCTCACTCAGCACCCATGGAATGAGCCTGGCTGGGAAACTTCAGCCTGATGCCTGGGAGCCAGTTCTCATTCTCCCCAGGGCAGGGAGCGGGTGATGACCAGGCCTAAGGTCCCACAGTCCCCACCCCAACCCCTCCCTGCCATTCCAGCCACTTCCCTGTATCCACCCCGCCCCATCTCCTGACTTTGGTCATCCCAGCATCTTCTGCTGACCCTGAAACTGTACCAGCAAGCAAGATGTGGCCTGGAGGCCGGGCGCGGTGGCTCACGCCTGTAATCCCAGCACTTTGGCAGGCCAAGGCAGGTGGATCCCGAGGTCAAGAGATCGAGACCATCCTGGTCAACAAGGTGAAACCCCGTCTCTACTAAAAATATGAAAATTAGCTGGGCATGGTGGCGCATGCCTGTAATCCCAGCTACTCAGGAGGCTGAGGCAGAATTGCCTGAACCCAGGAGGCAGAGGTTACGGTGAGATCGCACCATTGCACTCCAGCCTGAGTAACAAGAGTGAAACTCCATCTCGAAGAAAAAAAAAAAAAGATGTGGCCTGGAAGGAAACGTTAAGTTCCCCACAGTTGCCAGCAATCCTTCCATCGGGCAAACACACCATCTAAGGAAAAGAAGTGAGGTCGGGACAGCAAGCCTCACCTCCCTCCTCCCTCCATGGCCCCGGAGGCTCTGTCCTTTAAAGACCCTGGAACCCCCAGGGCGAGGGCCTGTAATCCCAGCACTTTGGGAGGCTGAGATGGGCAGATCACCTGAGGTCGGGAGTTCGAGACCAGCCAGAAAAACATGGAGAAACCTTGTCTCTACTAAAAATATGAAATTAGCCAGGTGTGGTGGCACATGCCTGTAATCCCAGCTACTCGGGAGGCTGAGGTAGGAGAATCACTTGAACCCAGAAGGTGGAGGTTGTGGTGAGGTGAGATCGTGCCATTGCACTCCAGCCTGGGCAAGAGCAAAACTCTCCAAAAAAAAAGACCTCCCAGAACCTTCACCCTTTAAGGTCCTCTCCTGGGATCAGGAGACTGGAGAAAGCTCCTTCCTTAATTTCAGGGGCCGAGTTCCATCCCATCTAATTCTCCCTCTCACCTGAGGCTGCTGTGGCCCTGGGAATTCCAGGGAGCCATCTGATGCCTGAGGCTGGGGAGGGGGTGAAGCTGTCTCTTTAAGAGCAGGAATGGAGCCCCTGGGCCTTAGGGCATCTAACTTGTTTTCTACCTGCCCAGGTTTGCTTAGGGCGTGGCAGCTTCGGATAAAGGCAGGACTCCGCCTGGCAGCCCCGACTTCTCCTGGAACCTCTGATCAGCGTGGTGAACCCCACAGGTGAGCAGCTGGGGCCCTTTCCTCCAAGCCCTCCTTGGCTCTGCTCCTAAATTAGGGAGAACCTACCCACCCACTTCCCCACCACATAGAAGCTCAGCTGTTAAAGAGCATAAAATCTTTTGAGGTGCATTTCTAGAGCCAGGAGATAGGAGAAAGGCCCTTCCCCTAATGTCCCTTTCCCCCCATGCTCCTCAGCGACTGGTTGAGCCAGCTGGGGTGAGGGCAGGACCCGTAAGTGTGGTTGGGTTGTCTGGGAAGACTGAGGCCTGCATGGATTAGGGGTATCTGGGTTGGGGATATCCAGGTGAAGAAGAGGGGGTGCCTGGGTAAGCAGGGGTATCCAAGTGGACCAGTGGTGTGTAAATGGACTTGGGACATCTGGGTGGATGAGTGCTGGGTGGACCCGGGGAGTCCAGGTATTGCGGGGAATCTGGATTCTGGAGACCTCTAGGAAAAGAGGATGGAGCTGCTGGGGGAAGCTGTAAATGGGGAGTTGCTTGGGAAGTTTGAGGTACACAGAAGGGGCGGGACCCTTCTGCTTGCCCTTGAGGATGAGCCCCTTCTCTCACGTCATGGAGGAATTGGGGTTAGCAGAGGGCAGGTTGTGGAGATGGTCCTCAGGCGGGCATTGGGACCTCGTGGCCAGGAAGAATCACAGCAGGTAGACAGAGCGCTAGCTGCAGGGCTGCCTTCCTCTTCTAACCTGCCCGCCGCCCACATCGGTTCAGGAGCAGCTGGGGCCTCTTCAAACAACAGCCTGAACAGGGAATATGAGGGCAGACCCAGCTCCCGGCTCCCCGAAGCCTCTGGAAACGTGGGGCTGGACATTGTTATGCAGAGGCTGGGTGAGGCAGATACCATCTGTCAGTCTCTGCTGGATGATAACATGGGAAGGGGGAAGAGTTGGGCTTCACAGGCCAGAGGTGGCTTGGAGGAGCCCCTGGAAAGAGGCTTAAGAGGTGAGACTCAACAGCCACGGTGACAGAGCATAGGGCTTTAAGATGAATTTGCAGGGTCACAGGATTGCAACTGCCAAGTGGGCTAATCATAGTGCCCCCTGCACGAAGCTGCAGAGATTATATGAATTAAAAAGTGGGAAGCTGAGAAAACGCCCTGTGGGTAGACACTCAGTCTGTATCTGCGTGGATTACCAGGATTCGTATGGTCGTGGGTGACAGCTTCGGACCACAGGCAGGCCACCTACCACCTGTGCCCATATCCACCATGTGGTCTTGCCCACCCACCCTTGCCAGCTCCCCCGCCAACTCTTCTGGGCGTTCTAAACACTTCGTGGGCCTCAGTAAAGCTCCCGAAGTCTCAGGCTTTCTTCCCCTCCAAACCCCCAACCCCCCCCAAAAAAGGAAAAGAAATGGTTGCTCAAAGTAAAACTGTGAGTCCAGCATCTGGAATTAACCGGGAAGCTGAGAGGATTCCCAGGCTCCGGGGTGGGCGGGCAGAGGGAGGAGTCTGTGCCAACCAGCAGGGACCACCCACACCACTGGATGCTGGCACTGCCGTCTCTCAGCATTTCTGCCATCTGTGAAATGCAGACTAGGGGATGACCTCGGGGTTGCTGGGAGGTTAGGTGAGTGAGAAACAGCAAGGTCAGTGTGCACCCCAGGGCGAGGGGAGGAAGTGCCAGCTCTTGCTATCAAAATTATAACTAGGCCAGGTGCGGTGGCTCAAATCTGTATTCTCAGCACTTAGGGAGGCCGACGTGAGCAGATCACCTGAGGTCAGGAGTTTGAGGCCAGCCTGGTCAACATGGTGAAACCCTATTTCTATTAAAGATACAAAAATTAGTGGGGCATGGTGGCACTCACCTGTAGTCTCTGCTATTTGGGAGGCTGAGGCAGAAGTTTCAGTGAGCTGAGATCATGCCACTGCACTCCAGCCTAGGTGACAGCGCAAAACTCTGCCTCCAAAAAAAAAAAAAATTATGGTAACTATGTGCTCAGCAGTTGGGCAGGGGCAGGGCAGGGGAGGGCATGCATGGCATCCAGGGGCTTGCTGCAGCAGCCTTGCAGGCCTGTCTGGGAAAGAGAAAGTGTTTGCTGCCTCGAGGGCCTGGGGCCAGGTCAGGGGCTGGGCTGGGGACCCAGGCTAGGCAGAGCTAGGGCTGGGACTGGGAAGGGCGAGGGTGGGGATGAGGTGACGGGAGGTTCAGGGGAACATGCAGCCAAGCCGAGATTGTTCCCCTCTACCCGCAGTCCCAGTCTCAAGTCATCTCCTTCCCACACCCTGCCCTGGGCAGCTTGAAGAACCTGCTCAGTCCACAGCCTGAAGTCTGCCGTGTCCTGGCAGGGCCAGGCAGGCTCCGAGCTGTCTGTGGAGACACTCCCGGGAATCGGGCCTCCTGCCACCTGGCTCCCAGCACCCCACTTCCCCAAACACACAAGGCCCTTACAGCCCTAAGTTAGGAGCAGCTGCTGGGGAGCCAGGCCTGCTTTAAATCCTGCTTCCTGGCGAGGGCACCTAGTTTCACCTCTCAGAGCCTCAGTTTCCCCATCTGTTCAATAAGGGTAACAGCAGGCAGTGGCACCCTCGTTTGGTGGTGGGCGATTCACGGAAAGCCTGAAGTCGGTGTCCAGGGAGTTATTACGGCTGCTCCCGAGTCAGGCCTGGGTTCCACCCAGGCCCCGCTCCCACGGCACGGCTGCTGCTTACCTCTCAGCCCAGCGAGTCCCAGTGCCAGCCTGTTTGCCCGGGGTGAGCTGCACACCCTGCCTGAGCAGCAGGGGAGGAGGTTTGGGGAGCCACAGCACAGGGCCAGCATCCCAGTGGCTCTGCTAAGGCCAGACCTCCTGCCACCCCTCTAGGCCAGCACAGCACTCTGACATGCAGAAGGCGACCCTGGGCCTGCTCGTGTTCCTGGCAGGTGAGTACCCATCCCTCCACTGCTTTTTCACCTGGATCCCCCAGCTCGGAGGGCAGCCAAGCCTCTGTCTCTCTCCTGTGCTTTTCTACCTTCCCAGGGAGGTGGTAAATGTTAGAACAGCATCGCCTTGAGGGTAAGAAAAGTCATACTGGCCGTATGCAGTGGCCGTATGCAAGTCAGGAGGCCTGTAATCCCAGCTCTCTTGGAGGCCGAGGCAGGTAGATCACCTGGGTCGGAGTTCAAGACCAGCCTGATCAACATGATGAAACCCCATCTCTACTAAAAATACAAAATTAGCTGGGTGCAGTGGCTCTCTCCTGTAATCTCAGCTCTTTGGGAGGCCAAGGCGGGTGGATCACGTGAGGTCGGGAGTTCAAGACCAGCCTGACCAACATAGGGAAACAAAATTAGCCGGGTGTGGTGGTGCATGCCTGTAATTCCAGTTACTTGGGAGGCTGAGGCGGGAGAAATTGCTTGAACTTGGGAGGTGGATGTTATAGTGAGCTGAGTGTGCACCATTGCACTCCAGCCTGAGCGAAACTCTGTCTCAAAAAAAATAAAGAAAAGAAAAGTCAAACCAGTGATTGCCAGGGAGACACAGAAGAGCTGGTTGCACAGCTGCAAAGTCACCGTCTTCCCCATTCTCTCACTCTCTTCTGTTTTTTTTCCTGAGTCTGTTGCTCAGGCTGGAGTGCAATGGCACCATCACAGTTAACCACAGCCTTGAAATCCTGGGGTCAAGCAATCCTACTCTCTTAGCCTCCTACACAGCGAGGACTCCAGACACACAACGCCATGCCCAGCTTGTTTTTAAATTTTTTGCAGAGATGGGGTCTCACTATGTTGCCCAAGCTGGTCTCAAACCCCTGGATGAGTTTGATCCTCCCACTTAAGCCTTCCAAAGTGCTGGGATTACAGGTGTGTAATCCACCAGCCTTGATTGACTATTAAACAGAAATAAGGGAAGCTAGAAGAAATAAAACGACACCTTCAAAGCACTGAAAGAAGATAACTGCCCGGCCAGTTCTCTTGTACATTTTCTTTTGTTTTTGTTTTTGTTTTTTTTGAGACGGAGTTTCGCTCTTGTTGCCCAGACTGGAGTGCAATGGCGCGATCTCGGCTCACTGCAACCTCCGCCTCCTGGGTTCAGGCAATTCTCCTGCCTCAGCCTCCTGAGTAGCTGGGACTACAGGCACGCGCTATCATGCCCAGCTTATTTTTTTGTATTTTTGTAGAGATGGGGTTTCACCATGTTGACCAGGATGATCTTGATCTGTTGACCTCGTGATCCACCCGCCTCGGCCTCCCAAAGTGCTGGGATTACAGGCTTGAGCCACCGCGCCCGGCCTTGTACATTATCTTTTTTTTTGCTGGCTAACTACTGCATAACCTCCCTTACTCTTTTGTTCATAAAGATACTTTGATCTGTAAACGTTTTCTAAAAACTTGAAGGAGCAGGCTCGGCTGGGTGCAACTGCACCTTTAACACCTTCCAACATACATTTTTTTCCTTATTTTTTTGAGACAGAGTTTTGCACCCAGCCTGGAGTGCAGTGGCATGATCTTGGCTCACTGCAATCTCTACCTCCCAAGTTCAAGTGATTCTTCTGCCTCAGCCTCCAAGTAGCTAGGACTACAGGCGTGTGCCGCCGTGCCTGGCTACTTTTTGTATTTTTAGACGAGACATGGTTTCATCATATTGGCCAGGCTGGTCTCGAACTCCTGACTTCAAGTAATCCTCCCACCTTGGCCTCCAAAAGCATTGGGACTACAGGCCAGAGCCACTGCACCCAGTCCTTTTTTTTTACTTTTTCAATGCAGCCTTGACCTCCCAGGCTCAACGGATCCTCCCACCTCAGCCTCCCAAAGCTCTGAGATTACAGGCACACTTTTTATCCATTACGTAGGGCACGACTAGTATTCTCTGCAGGGTAGTGATATAAAATCACATTTTTAATAAAGTCTATTTAAGTGTATAATAGTCACTTTCAATGATGTGCAAACACCAGACCAGGTCGGTGTGGACACGGCAGAATCGGGAGGATGGGCTTTGAGCATGATAGGATTTGGGGAAACAGGAACCTGGGAACGGAAACCATCTGTCATCTTGACCAGAAAAGTCCGCCGCTGCTGCAGCAGGCATGGATTAACCACGTGTCTGGAAACATGAGACCAAACGGTGGCCAAAAACCTCCCAGATTAGACCCAGTTTCAGGTGGCAGAATGCTGGCGTGACTCGGAGGTGTGGAGCTGAGTGGGCGAGTCCACATTTCCACTATGGGATAAGATGGGATGAGGCAGCTGCTCAGTGACCGGACCCCTGTCCCTCAGGGGACCCTTTCCCGAGGCCCCTGAGGCTCCACAGGCCCTGCCCAAGGGCTTGGCTGAGGCCAGCATCACCATCTCCCCTCCCTCCCCTCTTCTCCCACCAGGCTTGCCTGTCCTGGATGCCAATGACCCGGAAGGTGAGTCAGACTGGACACTTTCACCCGTCCCATCCCCAAATTCTTCCTGGGGGGCCCCTGATTGATAACAGCTCCTGGCTGTTATCCTGGATTCATGATCTTATTTCTTTCTTTGCAGATAAAAACAGTCCTTTCTACTATGGTGAGAGCTGGTGCCCCCATTCCCCTCCCCTCAACCCCACATATTGCTTTGGTGCTAAGGTTCCCACACAGGGTTGGGTGAGGGTCTGATGTGAGCATCACAGGACAAAGATAGGAAGGGACTAGGATGGGGGCAATGAATGGTCCACACGGTGGATTAAAGGAACTAGAGGCGGCAACCTGGCCTTTGGGAAGGTTCTGTTCCAGCAAGATGGTTAGACACACTCAGGAGGTGAGGACAGTTTGCAAGGACCCATTGTTTGGTTCAGATCAACTGCTGGGAGAAGCGTTGACTTGAGAAAACTTCCTGGAGTTCAGGAAGCAGCTTCACCGGAGGCAGCGAGCTATTCGGTCAAAACCCCCATCTGGCCTCCAGGTTCCAATGACCTGCTCCCCACTCCCCGCTCTGCCCTCACCTCCTCCACGCTCCTCACTCCTGCTCCAAGCCTCCCAGACACAGCAGACACACTGCCAGCCTCGGATCTCTGCACTTGCTGGTTCCTCTGTCTGGAACACTTCCTTCCATAGACCCGAATGGCTCCCTCCCTCACCTCTGCTCAGATGCAGCCCTTTGAGAGGGCCTTCCCTTATTACTCCCTGCAAAAGAGCTGCCCTCTGACTTAATTTTTTAGAGATAGGGTCTCACTCTGTCGCCCAAGCTGGAGTGCAGTGGCGTGACCATAGTTCACTGCAGCCTCAAATTCCTGGGCTCAAGCAATCCTCCTGCCTCAGCCTCCTGAATAGCTGGGACTGCAGGCCTGCACCACCATGCCTGGCTAATTTTTGTATATTTTGTAGAGATGGGGTCTCGCTATGTTGCTCAGGCTGGTTTAGAACTCCTGAAGTCCCAAAGCACTGGGATTATATTAGGTTGGTGCAAAAATAATTGTGTTTTTTGTGACTGCTTTTAATGGCAAAAATGCAATTACTTTTTTTTTCCTGAGGCAGAGTTTTGCTCTGTCACCCAGGCTGGAGTGCAATGGCGAGATCTTGGCTCACTGCAACCTCTGCCTCCTAGGTACCACATTCAAAGGATTCTCCAGCCTCAGCTTCCTGAGTAGCTGGGATTACAGGCACAGATCACCACACCTGGCTAATTTTTGTAGTTTTAGTAGGAATGGGGTTTTACCATGTTGGCCAGGCTGGTCTCAAACTCCTGACCTCAGGTGATCTGCCCGCCTGGGGCTCCCAAAGTGCTGAGATTACAGGCGTGAGTCACCTCGCCCAGCCAAAAACGCAATTACTTTTGCACTATCCTAACAGGTGTCAGCCCCAACGCCCAGCCTGCCCTGTGACTTGCCAGCTCCCACCCTGCTTATTATACTCATCTCTGCCTGACCCCGCATGACAGATCTTGTTTGCTCGTGTGTGCACTAGAATGTGAGCACCTGGGATTCTGTCTGTTCTCTTACTGTGGTGTCCCTGGCACCCTGCGCATCCTAGGTGCTCCATATGTATTTATCAAGAGGATGGGAAGATGGATGGGGAGGACACAGCCTGGCACTGAGGTCCTCTCCTTTTTCCTCCTAGACTGGCACAGGCTTCGGGTCGGCGGGCTCATCTGTGCCGGGGTTCTGTGCGCCTTGGGCATCATCATCCTCATGAGTGAGTGGAGGAGCTGGGGGAGCAGGTGGAGTGGGGCTGGGGCTCCCCTCCCCTGACCACTCACCTCTCCCTAACAGGTGGGAAATGCAAATGCAAGCTCCGTCAGAAGCCCGGGTAAGATGTGTGCTGTTCTGGCATGCCTGCCTGCCTCAGGCTGGCTAGATGCTTTTCAGCATGAAAGGGCTAGCTCTCCCAGCAGGAGAGGCCTCCAGACTCTGCCCCACAGAGTTCCTGCCGCTAAAATTTCCCAGGTTCATTGTTTCTAGCTGGTAATCCCCAGAGGGCCCCAAATCCTGAAATGCATTAGCCCCTGGGATTGCACAACCCGCCCCCCGCCCCCCCCCTACCAGTGGAAAAGCAGCCAGGAAAACAAGTCTGGACAGGCTGAGAACCCTCTACCTGGAGGGACAGGACAAATGGGGTGGATTCAGATCTCACCACTTTTGTCTCCTTAGTCACCATCCAGGGGAGGCTCCACCTCTCATCACCCCAGGTAAGATGGGGCAGCATGGGGATGAGGGGAACACGGAAGTGGGGTGTGTGTGTGTGTGTGTGTGTGTACACGCGCATGCACACTGGAAAGAAAGAATTCAGTCCACCCTCACAAACTGACCCCATCCCTTTCCCAGGCTCAGCCCATAACTGCTGAGGACAGACCAACCAAAACTGGGTGGAGGACCCTTCTCTGTCCCCGGGTCCTGTCTCTGCACAGCAACTTGAACTCCAGAATGGAATTGTTCCTCCTTGGCTGGGACTTCCTTGCACAGATGGGCCTTATCATCTCACCTCTCGTGGGAGGGTCTCGTTCAATTTTTAATCTAAAATGATTGTGCCTCTGCCCAAGCAGCCTGGAGACTTCCTATGTGTGCCTTGGGGTGGGGCTTGGGGCGCCATGAGAAGGTTGGTGTGCCCTGGAGGCTGGCACAGAGGCTGGCAGCTGAGCCTGCTTGTTGAAAAGCCCACAGGCCTACTCCCTTGTGGCTGATTGCACGGCCCAGCCCTGCACTCTGCCTCCTAGACCGTGGGAACCTCATGTGCAATTTGGGATTTACTAGTGGCCAAAAGGAATGAAAGAGAGCTCTAAGCAGATGGAACACTGGAACGTTCCAGGGGACCATGGACCATCCCAGGAAAACTGGGATGTAGGATCATCCCACCATGATGGCAGTGTTCAGACAGTTTATAAAAGTAAGACCCTGTGACCCTCTCACTCACCCCGAGACCTCACTTTATTACAAGATCTTTCCAAATACCCAAATGTCCCTGCAAGCCTGTTAAATAATTCCCTATGCTACCCTTAATTATACACAATGGCCACATAGCGTGAGAACTTCCAACAAGCCTCAAACTCCCTTGAGACTCCCCAGTACCTAAAAAGGCATCCAAAATGTTCCCATGAACCACCTCACAAAATGCCTAAAACTCAAAACACCCCCCAAAAAAAAATCTCCTCCAATGTCCTGAGACATGAACCCAAAAAGAGACCCACAGTAAACTCGTGACTTGTCCCCTCATCATGCCTCAAACATCCCCTGAGTCCCTCCATAACCACGAGTCCACTACCTGGGCCCCTCGGAGCACTGCTCCGGGGACACCACTTCCGCTTTCACAAGACACCCTCTCCCAGGGATCCAGAACAGTGGGCGGGGAGGGTGCAGAGCGCATTTATTGAGCTCGGACTCTTCTTGTCCTTGCCCCCGTCGCCCCATCCAGGAGGGCACCGGGCTTCCTGCGACACCTCTAGCTGTCACGCCCTGTGCCCCGCGCACGCGCGGTAGGCGCAAGAGGCACAACGCCCAGGGCGGCCGCACGCATGCGCACAAGCAGCAGAGGGGAACCCGCCCAGCGCCGAGTTGTCTTCGAGGTTGGCGCTTCTCCAGGAAAGCAGATTGGCTGTGTGGAGTTTAGAATAGGAAGGGAATGCCATCAACCCCTCAGTGCTTTCCGTGGACCAGGAAGGGTGGGAGCGGGTTGAGAGGGGAGCCATGAAGCTCTGCACGTGACCCCCACCTAGACTCCATGCAGTGCACCAGCCTGCACCCCCAGGTTGCCTTTGATGGGGAATCTGCCCCAGCCGAGATGTCCAGATGTTGCTTTAGACCTGTGAGCAGCTCCGGAGGCCCAGTAGGCTAGGACCCCCTATGTCCCCCCACAGGTGCAGATCCCTTAAGAAGTGGGCTTAAGGTATAGACGTGTGGCTGATGAATGTGGCCTGTGGTCAGCAGCTGTCACCCCAAGTGGGGCCGGGAACCAGCCAAGGGGCCGTCCAGGGGCTCCAGCCATGCCTAGAGTCCCGCTGGGGGTCTCAAGCACTGAGGTCGATCTCGTGATGCTGGTAGATCTGGGTGGGGCCCTTAAAGCAAGCAGCAAAGAGGAAGCGTCTGCCGGCCATGGTGACGTGGGCAAAGGCGCGGGGGGCCACCAGGGCCGGGGGCCCCAGCTCCTGCAGCGGCTCCAGGAGCCCCTTGTCAGGCTCAAGGCGGAGGACCTGGCTGAAGGCGAAGTCGCTGCCCAGGATGGCCAGCTGGTCCCTGGCGATGAGCAGGGGTTGGAAGACATGGGCACCTCTCGAGGGAAGTTGCTGCAGCAGACGAAACATGGAGCCGTCCCAGCGCATGACCTGTGGGGGTGTGGCCGGTGAGAGCCTGGGGTCCTGGGGGGTGGCTCTGGGGGCCCTGGAATAGCTTGGAAGCAGAAGTCTGTAGGTCCCCAAACTCCCACAGCTTTCCTATCTTCATAAAGGTCACCACTCAGCTGTTCAGCCACACACATGGAGTTGTTCTGAGCCCTTCTCTTGCCCTCACACCCCACACAGAAGCACTCAGCCATGTACTCTCAGTTTCACCTACTATAGTTGTACATTTCTCCCACCACCTCTGGCAGCACTCTATGCCCTCCCAACTGGACCATCTTGGCTGCCTCTTTCCTGGTCTCTAGGCTCCTCTCCCTGCTCCCTGAGTCTGTTCACCACCTTGTGAAAACCTGAGACAGATCAGGGCCCTTCCAGGCTCAGAACCCTCTCCTGCCTGCACCTCACTCCAGAAAGAGAGTGGGCAGGTCTTAACCCCAGCGTGAACCTGGGGGTGCTCAGTGTCAGGGTGGGGATGGGTGTGGCTGTGAAGTCTGGAATGCATCTGAGTCACAGAACCAGGATCTGGGGGTAGAATCAGGATGTTGGGGCCAGTGTCAGTGTTGGGGACTGGGGAGTGGTTTAGAGTCAGCCAGCTTTGAGGGGGTCACAGTCTCAGCATCAGTGTGGGGTGGGATCCTGGTTCAAAGGCCGGCATGTGAGGCTAGGTCAGAGTTTAGAGGCTTAGTGTGCAAGAATGCCACAGTGCTGAAAAGCCAGCCCTCGAGGCAGGGCTTGGTAGCTCACGCCTGTAATCCCAGCACTTTGGGAGGCCGAGGTGGGTGGATCACAAGGTCAAGAGATGGAGACCATCTTGGCCAACATGGTGAAACCCTGTCTCTACTAAAAATACAAAAATTAGCTGGGCATCGTGGTGTGCGCCTGTAATCCCAGCTATTTGGGAGGCTGAGGCAGGAGAATTGCTTGAACCCAGGACGCGAAGATGAGCCGAGATCATGCCACTGCACTCTAGCCTGGCAACGGAGCCAGACTCCCGTCTCAAGAAAGAAAGAAAGAAAAAGAAAGAAAGAAAGAAAGAAAGAAAGAAAGAAAGAAAGAAAGAAAGAAAGAGAAAGAAAGAAAGCAAGCCAGCCAACCCTCAATGGGAGTCAGCTGCAGCGTCAGGCCTGGCTGTGCCCCCTCCTCCCCCAGGCCCAGCCTCACCATGGAGTCCCCAATGTAGCGTGTGAGGCACAGGAACACGTCCCCACCAGCCTGGAAGTGGCGTGTGGCATAGACATCCTCCGCCTCAGGGATGTCCGTGCGTCTCTCGAAGCGGCCACCGGTCCAATGGAAGAGCACGGGCCGCTGGGAGGCCGAGGCCAGCAGCAGATGGGGCCGACCGTCCAGCTCCAGGGCCTCGGCGTCCGTGTCCCGGTGCCAGGCGTGCAGGCTCTGGTGCGGGTAAAAGCCGGGCCCATCGCGGCACAGCAGCGTGGTGCTGCCCGCCTTGGAGGCGTCGGCCACCACGAAGCAGGGCTGCCCTTCCAGCCACAGGAGCTCGGCGTCATTGGGCCGCAGCAGCCGCCTCGGGGCCAGGGTCTGCGTCGGGGCCAGGCGCAGGCCGGGGCTGGGCCGGGCCCACAGCTGTGAGCCCCCCCACAGGCGGGCGGCCAGCACGAAGAGACTGGGGCCCAGCACTAGCGGCTTGCAGGACACCACGGAGGGCGCTGTGGGGAGGTGGGAGGCGGAGAGGCAGGTCAGGCTGGCCAGGCAGGCTACTGGGCAGGCAGAAGGACGGGGAGGTGCTCACCGGGCAGCTCTTCCTCTGGCCGGAAGCGCTGCAGGCTGTAGTCCCAGGAAAGGATCAGGCAGCGGCCGGCGAAGGGCTGTGCTAGCACGATGTGAGGCTCCCCCTGGTAGGAGAAGAGCTCTACGCTCAGCGCCGACTCCCCCACGGTCTGGAACCAGGACAGCTCTGGGGGTGGAGGAGAGAGTCAGGCAGGCCCCGAGGCCCCGAGGGTCCTCATGGCTCAGCCTCAGTTTGCACATCTCTGAAATGGGGCCATTCATGGTACTCCCCTCATAGGGTCATAGAACTGGAATCTTGATCTGAAGATGTTTGTTTGGTTTGGGGGCGGGGTTTGTTTTGTTTTGAGACAGGGTCTCACTATGTCCCCCAGGCTGGAGTGCAGTGGCATAATCATAGCTCACTGCAGCCTCCCCCTTCCAGGCTCAAGGAATCCTCCCACCTCAGCCTCCTGAGCTGCTGAGACTATAGCCATGCACTACCATGCCTGGCTAATTTTTTATTTTTTGTAGAGATGGGGTCTTGCTATGTTGCCCAGGCTGGACTAGAATTCCTAGGCTCAAGAGATCCTCCTGCCTTGACCCCCCAAAGTGCTGGCATACAGGCATGAGCCGCCATACCTGACTATAGACATATTAACTCACAAGAGCATGATAAGCTTTATTTTCGGAGCTCTGTGACATCACCAAATAATCCCTTAGAAACAGCATCTCAGTTAATTCATTTAACTTCTCAACATCCCTCTGAGGTACATTCTGTTATGATCTCCCCTTTACAGATGAGAAAGTGAAGGCTAAGGGCACAGGCAGTCATCCAACAAAATCCGTCTTTCCCACCTTCTGGGAGGCAGGACTGGAGCTGGTCACCAGGCCACCCAGCTAGAGGCTGCTTTCTCCCGGACCTCCATTCACCGCCCTCCCTGGAAGTCAGATGTGGCTGTTTTGAGACCAAGCGGCCAGTGGAACAAAGGCAGATGTGATGAGTGTAATGAGCCATCACGCCTGGAAACAGCTTGTCCCGACTTGGTCTCCTTTCCCACACGTGGATATGCCACAACCTGGCTTCAAACACGAAAGCAAAGACGATGCCCAGGGGCTGCCCTGCACACCTGGACAGCTTGCTCCAGACCCCTCCGTCCTTAATCCATGGTATTTTGAGAGTGTGTGATGGCAGGTTGGCTTCTGTGGTTACTGGGGCACCAAGGCTACTGCGCTTGTTAATGGGGGAGCCGGGCAGTCGACTCCAGGCTGTAATATTTCACTCTGCATGCCAGGCCCTGTTTCCAGGTGCCAATGTTGAAGCAATGAGCCAAACTACCTATAATGCCCACCTAAAGGGCGAATCTTTTTTAAATGGCTATCAAATCACCTCCTGCTCAAAACTCTCGGCTGAGAGTGGTGGCTCACGCCTTTAATCCCAACACTTTGGGAAACCAAGGCAGATGGATCAGTAGAGCCCAGGAAT